TGCTAATATAAGGATTATTCAAGAGGTGGAGAATGAACGCTTGGTAATATTTACAAAAATTAAAGATAAATTCAATATACAATGTATATGTTCCATTAAGGCACAAATCTGCAGAAATATCTATAGGAACTTGGAAATTATAAAAGCAGCAGAAATAATGGGGCTTTGGCACATGGAATTGTTTGGGCCAATAAAGACAACGTTAAAAGGAGGTAAAAGTCTTACCTGCTGATCATTATTCCAGACTAAATGACTAAAGATTTAATCAGAAATATTACAGACGCAGAATTTTTTTTGTCATAGGATACTTACAAACATGAGTAATATTTATATGCAAGAGCCAACCATTAAGGGTAAAGTAATAAGTATCATTTAATAATACTTCAATGGATTGTATAACTGTTTTTAAAAATTTAACAGATATACAATATTTACTTTCTAAATTTCTATATTAATTTATTAAATAATTTCTAATTTGAATTACAATAACAAATAATAAATTTTAATAAATTTGATTTTAAAAGTATTTTAAATTAATCAATCTAATATATTTGTTATAACTAGGTTGGAATGAAAACAACTGTTGGTGGTATTGAGTTAGAATTATGGGCAAAAGAAACTCCAAAGGCGTATTATTAGGATGACACTATATTTCATAGAATTATCCAAGGATTCATAACACAAGATAGTGATCCTATAGGTACAGGAGAATGTGGTAAAATACATGGAGAACCATTTAATGTGAGACTATATTTAAAAATAAAATGAATTCCTTTTTTATTTAAAAATAATTATTGGATATATGTGTTTTAGGACAAATTTCATACAAGATTACGTTTTTGTCGAGATTTAATTGCTATGGTTAATGCTAGAAAGATGACAATGGTTCCCAATACTTCTTTATTCTTAGTTCTACACCATATCTGCAGAACAAGCATACAATCTTTGGTAGAGTTACTGGAGAATCTATATATGGTATGCTTAAACTCGAAGAAGCGCTTGTAGATGAGGTAAATTTAATGTTTGCAAGAATATGTATCAAGAATTTATATAAATATAATATTACCTCTTTTTGTAGATTGATAGACCACTTTAGCCTCCAAGATTGATAAAAACTATAATATTAAACAATCCATTTTCTGATATCATACCAAGAATAATAGTATAGAAGCGTGAAGAAGTAAAGGACAATTCAAAAACTAAAACAGCATCGGTAAAGTAAAAATCGTATATATTTGCAAAATTTAGCCCTGATAGTATTGTTCTTTGCAATGAAAAATTTTCTTACAGATATTTCAATCTTTTGTCATTTGGTGAAGAAGCAGGGGAAGATGATGAAGAATCTGTGATATTAAATAAAGAGTTTAGTGGCAAGAGCAAATCAGCTCATGATCATTTAACTGATCCAAAATTAAGCTCACAACCAGAGCTGTTGAACCGCCTGGACCTGCAAATAAAAAAAGGACGGAAGACTGTAGTAGCGATTGGGAAAGTGACGACGAAGTAAAAGCTCAAGAAGAATTAGAAGTTATAAAGAAAGAGAAAGATTTAGTTTATTGTTTACGTTATAAATATGTTATAAAAAGTAGTAAGTTTTGTTGACTGACTTATATTTATATTTTCAGAGCAATGAAGGAAAGGATAAAAAATAAAATGAAAGTTACAAGAAAATAACCGAAGAATTATGTCGTCAACAATTATCGTGTATATGTGAAACTTTCAAAGTGAATAAAATGTATCTAAGCATAAAACCATCCTAGTTTCATTTTCTTTTTAGCAAGAACGAAATCACTCGCTTTCATCTGTGATTTCATGTTCGTCGGGCTGTTAATCGAATAAAGAGAAGGGAGCATCTCCTCTCGATCCTTGTCTATCACGACTTCGTTTTTTTTCGACTTATTTTTTTCGAATTGTAGTAATTAAGACTATATATGTATATATATAGTTACATAATTTAATACATAATCATTATCAATTCCTTGATTGTACATTCTTTTAAAAAATTGAATATCCGCACGGTTATAAACGTAAGGTAGCGTTATTCTAATATAGAAAATTAAGTTTCTAAATTTATAGAATTTTTTATAAACGCGAATTTTACCTTATTTTAGGATGGCTGATGACTGATGAGGCATAGGGGATCCCCTTGCTTAATATCAATTTTAGCTATTATTCCCTTTTTTTAACTTTAAAATGTTGCTTTAAAAACTTTTATGTTAAAAGCTATCGTTACGAGTAAGTAAATGGCTTTTTTCTATGAAAAAATAATTGTACATGTGTAAATTACAGTAAATATTGTTATTGCAAATTATACAAAGCATATATTTACAATAAACTATGCAATAACTATTATAACCGGTTTACAAATCCTTGGCAAATCGACAAGTTCGTGAATTTACGTTTGACCTCGGGCAAGGGTACCGTCGGTTCATATAGGTACTTTACGATCGCAGGACACGTCGGTTGCTACTCGGCCGTGGTAACGTGTATATCGAAACTTGAACCTAATTGATTAAGCCTAAATTAACTTATTTATCTATTTTTCCCTTATAATAGTTGATTTAATTTATTTACTTATGTTTAACGTTTAATAATTCATTAAATTTATTTATTTTTTATTCACCTTCAATTATTTATTTAATTAATTTATTTATTTTTAATTTTTAATAACTTATTTAATTATTTTTCTTCTTTTTATTTTTTAACATCTTAATTATTTATTTATTTTCCAGTTTTAATAACTTATTTAATTATTTATTTATTTTTATTTTTTAATAATTCATTTCACTTATTTAATTTATTTATTTATATTTATTATTTAACAGTTTATTAACTTAATTTATTTACTTTAATACTTAATTATTCATTTAATTATTTAATTCATTTTTTATTTCTAATTATCTACTTAATAATAAAATAAATATTCCATGTTTTATTTTTTTCATTTCATTAGTATTAGTGGACATTAAATATTTTTATCACAATTAAATTATTTAAATTATATATAACCGTACTTCTCCAAAATCGTTTTCGTTCGTATGTGTTCACCCGCGATATTTTTTCTCGATATTGGCCGAAACAAGTTCGCACGCGTTCGCGGCATTGCGAGTGTATTTTCAAAGTGTTCCAAGAAAAGAGGAAGGGATTGTAACCAATGTTGACATCGCTGCATTAACCACGTGTCAAGGGTAGGATACAGTGATGCTGATCCCAGGACCAAGACGACAGTCATTCCAGGGCTGCTTTCATATGGAGAAGAGGCCAACGATCGATCAGTCGCATGTTTACGATTCCTCTGGTTACCCATCATGTCGTAGGAAGAATGGTCCAAAACCGCACGGATGACTGATTGTATTTCATATTATTCTCATAGCGAGCATAGTGACCACGAATGATAATGTGCTAATATACAATAGCACTCGTGCAATATATATTTCTGTAATATATTTATTGGATCAGGCTAGGGTTTCTTGTACGTCGCGTATTAGAACCTCGGTTGAAAAATTTCCAATTTCTATTCTAAATAGAAATTTCGAAATTTTTAGTTGTTCATTTCGTTCATTGTCATAGTTATTTCGCGGGATTTTTGAGAATACTAGTAGAAGAAAGTGTATTCCCCTCGAAGAAGTTTCCAAAATCAAAGTAATAATTCGAATGATTTTAAATCATTAGAGATGTTACTTCGATTTTGGAATTTCTCATATTTTTAATGAAACAGTTTCCCCATTTCACTTCTTTTTTTATTTTTATTTTTCTTTTTTTTTATTAATACGTGCTTCTTTGTTGACATGAATTTTTGTCGAGTCAGTTGAAAAGTAGAGTCACCCCAGCAACTTAGCTGTCCCTAATCCCGATTTTTAATTAGGATTTTCAACAAGGGGATACCAGCATTTTTAATATTATTTTTAAGATTATGTTTGTCACTATGCTCGCTACTTTGTTTCGCTATATCTTGTAGAAATATTGTATTTTTGCACATTTGTGCAGTATTACTGTGCATACTGTGCACATTGTATTCGAAAATTTGCCGAACAAAATCCCTCAAAGTTCGATATATTGCTATCGGTATTTAAAAGTCCCCCTCAAAAGTATCCCTTTTTGATATAACATTGAAAAAAGCAGAGTCACGAGAAATGTGATACCCTATATGGCTCCTCGCGTGCCTTTTGACACTTCTCCCCTATTTTTTGGGGCTTTTAAAGCGCCGTAAATGGCAGCGCGTTTGATGTAAGAAATGATTTCTTATTTCATAGTAGAATAATCTTATGCAACTACCAATTCTCCATATGAAATTCTATTTCCGTGTCATTATTAATTGCTCTTCCTTTTTTGTAGATGTTTGGCACTCTATATTTCGTAATTTATTTTTAAATTTATTTTGTAATATATGTTGTACTTTATTTTATAGTGTACACTGTATTGCCTTTTGTAATTCATTTTGTGATTTATTTTCTGTGATATTTTGTACTTCCTTCTATACCATATTTTGTACTGTATTTTACTAATGTGTTTAGGCCTGGGTCTCGATTGCGTAGCCACCTCCACGTGGTGGGACCTGGTAATTGGCATCGTTTGTCAAAGATGAATTTCCATATTTTCCTGAATAAATTTTATCTCGTAATTTTTTGATCTACGACAATTTCATCTTTGATAAACGATACCAAGCTAAGAGCTACGCAATACTCATAATCCAATCCTAGCTTCTACTATCTTTTCTATTTTCTTGCACCTTAAGAAGTCTTAATTATTCATTTTTCCCTTTTTTTTTTTTTTTAATATATATATATTTACCTATACCTGATAAGAAATTCTTTATTTAAGTTATATAAAATGTACTTGGCGTAATTTAATTATTACAAATAATCATCTGGTGAATAAATTAAGCTGTAATTTTTTTCGCATAAAAAGTAATAATGTATATTTTGAAAAAATGTTTATCAATTGTTTAATTTCACAAAATAGATATTCACAATATATGCATCTTATGCGTATGAAACACGTGCCATTAACTGTAAATATGAAAGCTATTTACATAATCTTTTTTGCTTATGTTTCTCTAATTTTTCATACTTCTCCACGGATCGATTACTGGCGTGTTTTTTTTTGTGGCTCAAATGTCTTTCTTTATGTTTCTCATACCGTAAATCTTCGTTACTAGAATTAGAACTCTCTCTATCCCATTTCTTTTTCTCACAATCGCCCTTTTTTTTATGTTTATGTTCCTTATAATCTTCTCTTTTGCTTTTGTCCCGACTTTTGTCTCTGCTCTTATCTCTACTTTTCTGTTTTCTTCCTTTTCTCCGCCTGGAATCGTATTCGTATTTTTCACGTGAGCTATCACGGTGCCTTTGTTCCTTATACTTTTCCTTCTCTACATATTTCTCCACATTATGAGAGTACTCTGAATCGTTTTTGTAAGTATCCTTTCTGCGTTCGTGTTTTCTATGTTCTAATATTTCCGATATATATCTTTTATCGTTTTGCTTTCGACTAATTACGTCATCATTGCTTCTAGATTCGTCCCGTTGTTTGTATCTTGAATTTACTTTTTCTAGATTCTCATTGTTAATTTCATCATCTTTATCATAGAAATATTGTATGCCTTTACCTTTACCTTTCCACCTCATTTTAGCTACTGACTGCGAGAAATCTACATGAATACGACGGTCGTCAATCAATACGTTGTCCATTTTAAAATATGCTTCCTCACAACTTTTACGATCAGCAAATTCGATGAATGCATATTGCAATGAATCTCCACTCTGTCGATCTCTAATGACTTCACAACTAAAGAAAGAAAGAAAAACAATACAAGTCATACATCAAAGATAATATATGTTTTTTAGCAAAATTACAAAATCATGTATACCCAATAATTTTTCCAAATCTACTGAAAATAATTTCAAGGTCATCATCAGTGGTCACAGGATTCAATTTACAAACAAAAAGAACATTTTCTGGAGGAGCCATTTCTGCATCTGGTATATCACCAACAATTTCTAATATTGTAGCTCTTGCCTTTGCCTCCTTCTCCTTTTGCATTTCTACAATTTCTTCAACTGTCATACCAGCTGTATCATCTATTACTTCATCAGCTCCAATTCTATCGCTCTATAAATATAAAGTGATTAATCGTAATGAAAGAAGTTATATATCTAAAAAAAACGTAAGATAAAAAAAGAATTATACCATTAGAACTTCTTTTGTAGGTGGTGGACTTTGAGCAGGTACAATAAAATCTTTTGGATCCTCAAAAGGATCTTCCAAAATAATAGTATGGGAAATACGTATATCTTGGTAAGGTCTATGATCCCCATCGCAAATAGTTTCATTGAATTTGAGAATAACTTCTAAACCCTCTGTAATTTCACCAAATACACAATGTTCTCCATCTAATGACTGAAGTTCAGGTGCAAGAGTAATAAAAAACTGAGATCCAAGCATGTTATTACCACAATTAACCATAGACAATAAACCACTTCTATCATGTTTTATCTTTGGCATTTGCTCTGCTTCGTAATATCTTGCTTTTTCACCTAATACTATTCCATAAACACTTTCGCCACCTTTTCCAGTACCAGTGGGATCTCCGGTTTGAGCAATAAAATTGCTTTGTACAGAATGGAACAAGTTCCAATTGTAATACTTTAATTTGCATAATTTTAGAAAGTTGCGACATGCTATAAAATATTATTTACGTTCAGACATACTATTACTGACAATAAAGTTTCTATATTGGATTATAACGTAGTTGTAAAAAAACTTAACCTCTATTCTTGTTTTATACTTACTTTGTGGACGTTCTTTAGTGTACAAATCAACAGTAAAATCTCCTATAGTAGTTTCTACTATAACTGCCATACCTTTACGATTTTCTTATATAACCACTATCACACTTATTATTTACATAACTTTCCAAAATCTCTTATTGTACGTATATCACAATGTGTTACTCATCGATCACGATACAAACGAATTCGCTTCATGACTACTACGTGGCGCTGAACGGAAGAACATGTTTCTTTTTCGATTCGTAAATATACATTTTGAAAGTGTATCCACATTTTTAGGAAAAAAATTACAACTTTTTTAATTTTTTATATCAATTATAACATGTACATAGAAGATAAAATACAGATTAATTATTATAATGTTTTATGATTGAAAAATATTCTTATTCTCTTTGCTTGGTAAAATTGGCCGCAAATATACGAGTTTGTGCTTGTAAGTGTCAGGTAGAAGAGCATTCAGAGCCATATGCGTTATTGCCGCAGTGAAACCCCAAACACGGTGTTTCCCGCCCAAATAAACCGGTAAAGTATAATTATTACGAAACTGAGTAAACCGACATAATGAAAGATCGCAAAGATTTCGTAAACTTAGGAAGAAAGCTTCTTCCACTTCATCTCTATTAATTAGAAGTTTTTCTGGATCAATTTCTCCAATGTAACCAAAAACAGGCAAAACCTTGACGTTTTTTTTATCGATCATTTTACCAGAGGCCCAAACGTCAATTTTTTCTCTTGGAATTTGAAGTTCTTCCCACGTTTCGCGTAATGCAGTTTGTTCCAGATCACCATCTTCTTTGTCATACATACCACCCGGAAATGATACTTGTCCACGATTCGATGTTACTTTTGTAGATCTTAAGGTATATAAAAAACCTAGCTCGCCTTTGTGCATGCATAGTGGCACTAAAACAGCGGCATGTTGCACATCACCATCTATCTGTGGTATTATAACAGCCTTAAATTTTTCAATAAAGGATTTCCGATTTTTCTCACTAAGCACCACTTCCGGTTTCAGATGTTCAAGCTTGATTGCATTCAGACTTCGTGATCCCGTCGACTTTTTTGTAAAAAAAAAACATTTTTTTAATGTGATATTGCGATGACAATCCACGTTGTCAAAGCGTAGACATTTTAGTCGCTTTCGTACGTTACATGCTAAAAAGGGTTGATTAAGCATAATTTTACAATGCTAATAATTCAATCGTATTGACATCTTTTTTTGAACTTATGGAAAAAAAGGAAAAAATTTCGTATATTGAGAGTTACATTTCGCATTTGTCATCATTAGGTATTTGAAAATAAATGAACGGATAGCCGCGTGAGAAGCGTCATCTAGTATGCACAGAAGGAAGTAACCGTGTTTATGACGACGATTACATTAAAGAAAAATACTTACAAAAGAACGCTGTAAGCAGCGTAAAAAAATGGAATACAGTTTCATTGATTAAAGTTGAATTCCTGAAATACTTCCTACGTTGTATGACAAAGGACAAAAAATTGTACAAGGAGATATGTTGTATTTAACACGTAGTTACCTCGGATGCTCAATTTATCAAGAATTTCTTGCAATATGTCTACCATCACGATGATTTCATGCACAGCAGCTAGATGTCTGATCAATCGACTTTGGACGGCCTTTTTTTAAAAAATGGTAATCGATTTATCGATCATACGTCATTCCGTTGGTTTTTGTTTATATGATTTTATCTTGTATCATTGTATATTTTATTATTATAGCATTTTATCTTAAACATTTCAAACATATAACTTAAAGAACATTTTCTCTGCATTAATTCTAATTGTAAATGTTTAACAGTAATTAAAATATTTACTGTATCATGCTTATGTATCTTTTACGCGTTGCAGTAATAAAATTATTACTGTCGTCGTTTATGTGTATAACAACTTCTTATGAGATTTCTCAAAATCATACAAAACAGGAAGAACTTAAATATAACCTTTCACATTTGATGTGATGCATTAAATAACCCCGGGGCAAAGAACGATATAGAACTACCAACTTACTGATCAAATTACCGTTCCTTTGAATACTAGTTGCGTGTATAATTTGTGACAGTGTAAGCATCGTCTAATTTCATTAAAGATTAGCTTTGATTTTGTAATATGAATTCTAATTCTGCTTCTAGTTATTTGTTTACCAATGGTTTTCTATTTCTTTATTATTGAAAATATTTTATGTAACTTAAACTGTAATCCCATAATGCAATTTTAATATGCTTCAACGCATGATTCATCTAAAATTATTCCAAAAGCTGAGTAAGAAATTCTTATTACGAGAATAATGATGTTAAGATTAAAAATTGTGTTTGAAACATTAACTTTCAGAATGCGTTAGTTAATTTATTGTTCGACCGTGACCCAGATTAGACATATATATAAGCAATGTAAAAATTGAATCACGTTATTATACTCTGACTATTTATCGTTTCTATACAAATTCTAATGTTTTCGTGCTTTGAGATTTTTATCTCATTGCGACGAATAAATCCATAGTGACGATTAAAAAGTCTTTGCCCTAAGACTGGAATACAATCGAATGCATTCGAAGTGTGATACGTCAGATGAATAAAGAATAAGTAATGTATTGCGAATTGATTTACGCAAAACAGCATATTTTTGAAGCCAACTTCTACCTTCCAATACGATTGTGTAAAAATTCGGTAAAAATAATACAATACTAAATAATTACAATAATAAATAATTTTTATCACATTAATCTATTAATTATCGTATACGTAGTATGAAATTTTATTTAATTACTAACAACCAAAATTAATTTGGTTTAACTTATGCAAATACTTGTTCGTATTCTTAATAATTATTTTGTAATGTGCTTAAATAATGGTATAACAAGATTTAGAAAATCCTGGCAATGGAATTAATCTTAATTATGTGTAGTTACAATATTTTTATGACTAACCAACAAACGAATAACTTAATTTAGTTTTTTATGTTTTACATGACCTTGTAATTTAAGATTAAATTTCGAATTTCCAGCAAGATTTATTCCGGTGAAAACGAAGCTGGAGCCGAACAATGCCGAGAACATCCGAACAATACCGAGAACATCCGAACGACGCTGAATCATATTCTGTGCGTTAAGACTGTGATTACCGATGTCGCCATCGTGCTGAGAGTCGCGCTAGTAAAGCAAAGTTTTAGATGCATTGCTTGTTCAGTGAAACGTGATCGTTTGCCGCTTCTATACATTTGTCAACTATTTCCGATCATTACATAGAATGTGTTGGTGTGCATAATATAGGCAATGAATAACCATAACAAATCCACGCGTTAGTGTTAAATTATACGCGAAAAGTAATCGTTCAATATTGGTTGCGCTAGTAAATGCACTATATGCTCCTCCGAGGTCACTATCAAACTTTGACAGACGCTAGTATGTCACGTCTAAACTTGATACTGTTTATAGTAGGTGCTTGGAATTTTATCAGCACGGTAAGTTAAACATTCATAAAATCATAATTCTTGTAAGTATTGTATAAATAATTAATCGTTTATACCACACCCTGGTGTCGTGAAACATCTTGTATTCATGACGTCACTTCGGCCCATCCTCGTGAATACTTACCGTTGACGCCGACGTCGTTCGCATTCGGCCAAAGTATTCCATTAAATTTAATTATGCCTTTGCCTTACTTGTTAAAGGGTTATATTAATCGACACGACTACTTATGCTTTATTTGTTAGGATGATAACAACGCGAATTTTTTTCAACTCTTGTTGATGTCAGTTTTCCCGCTTAAAAGATTAGAAATTTCATTTAGATTACTTTGTGTGCGTGTGTGTGTATATTTTTGAATTTATGATATATTTTTTGTTTATGCAAATCGTCTACCTAATATTCATATGCTTTACAAAAAAGCATAGTTTTTTAATTTTTAGGTGTAAATACATATATATTTGGAAAAAATGATTTTTATATAAAGTGAGAAGTAAATCAAAAGCCAGAATGGAAGGATTATTTATCTATATTACTATTTATTATAATAAAGCATAAAATAAGTAAATAAATAATGATTTTAAAATACACAAAGTACATATAAAAATTTATTTTATTTTTTGAACACTGATTAGGATGATTAAGTTAATTCACAATAATGACTTCAGTTAATATCAGTTCCTTTCATTATCTAATGAGTAACTGTGAAAGAATGTTAAAGCCTTTATATGTCATCTTGTACTGTTCTGAAAGCAATGATTCATTGTTTGTTAATATTGTATAATTAATATAGTAACTTAATTTGATATGGTTTTTTTGGGGTAATTTTTTCTTTGTATCACTGGAAGATTATAAAGAGATTTTGAAATATTATTGAAAATTATTACTTTTAGATGTATTTCATTAGAAGAAAGTTGTATAATGTTCATTAATAGGTATCTGCAGCAGAAGATGGTCACTGTATTTGGTATGGAGAATGTTACACCGACATGATGATGCATAAAAAGAATTGTCCCTACACAGGACCACCTAAATTACTGGATATTGATGGTCAAAAACTTTTGGCTAAAAATTGCCCTCATTTAATGATTGATTCTGGAAATGGAATTAATACTTGTTGTGATACAAATCAGTTAAAGACTATGGATGCAAATATTAAGCTAGCAGCTAATTTTTTAAAAAGATGTCCTAGCTGTCTAGATAATTTAGTAAAACATTTTTGTGAATTCACTTGTAGCACAGAACAAAGCAAATTTATTAATGTTACTGAGATACAGAAAGAAAATGGTAATTTAACTTATTATTTAATTATTTTTTGTATAAAAATAATAAATAATAATATATATATATTTTTCTTTTTTGTTTTAGAAATAAAATACATTAATGGGATAGATATTTATGTAACAAATAAGTATATTGAAGGTACATTTAAGTCTTGTAGCAAGGTATCAGTACCTAGTACTGGACAATTAGCATTGGATATAATGTGTGGAATTTGGGGAGCTAGTAGATGTACTGCATTAAAATGGTTTCATTATATGGGTGATGCAGCAAACAATGGATATGTACCATTTCAAATTACATATATAAATACTGATGAACCTGTTGGTTCATTTATTCCTGTAGATCCTAAAGTTACACCTTGCAGTAAAGCACTAAATGTAAGCATTTGTTCGTGTAGTATATATATATAGTTATAACCTTATTATATATTATTATTATTATTATATATATATAAATTATTATTATATATTATTATATATAAATTAGCAAGGAGAATGAGTCACAAGTAGTCAAGATCAAATTGTAAATGAACAAATTTAATTTTTTGTTTTTAAATGAAATTTATTTAATAAATTTTATATTGTTAGAAAAACACACCAGCATGCAGTTGTGTAGATTGTGAAGCCAGTTGTCCAGTGCCTCCACCACCTTCTTCTCTGCCACAACCATTTACCATTTTTGGCTATGATGGTTATGCTGTGATGATGATTATTACTTTCGTTTGTGGTTCAGCTGTTTTCATCTTGTCAATAGTGTGCTTCAGTAACAGGAAACAAATTGGTAAGGAACTTTAGTTATTATTTAAACGTATTTTTTAGAAAATAACTATAATTCTTTATATATTTGGTTGAAAATTGCAAAATTTCACTATATAATACAAATTATAGTGTGAAACATATCTCTTTTTCTTTAAATTTTGTGGCATAAATTTTATGCAACAGTACTTTAAATAATATTTTTTTTACCTTGCATCAGTGACTAATTTTGTATGTAATTATCACGTGCATTCTTTTAAAGAGAACAAATACAGTTCAGTTCAAATTATCTTAATGTCTGATCCATACCATTGACCTTCTTCCTTGGTTATAGGATTATTTTTACTGTTGTGTTATTTCTATATTATCTTATTCTTTGGTTGTGGTTTAAGAAATAATTTTATAAATTTTGCACTATGCTTGGTTTGATGAATATTTGTTTTTTACTTTTTCCTTTGATTCATAATTGTCATGGAGCAGTTATGTATGATCATTGAAACAATAGTTTACTATTTGACAATAGTTATTTTGTGGTATAGAATAGTAAAAGTGAAAATAAAAAAATACTAACTTTTCGTGTCATTTCTTTTTTTCGTGATAAATATAATATCACAAATAAATAAAATAATCGCATAAAATTGAGAAGATTTGATTTAGAATCACCAGTTGTATGTATGGTGTGCGTATATGTATAGTTGCACGAGGTGAGGAGGTAGGAAGGCAGGTGGGTAGACGCCTAGCCGCAGGGTTACATCACCCAGGAGATGGTGCGCGTATTGCTCTTGCTGCAGACCAGGAAGACAGCCCACTTCAATCTAAGCGTTCCAGTAGGTTCCTATCAACTGTATCTTCAATATGTCAACTTGTGCTTGATCCTTAATTTTTGTTTTGTTATTCTATCTAGTTTTATTGTTATGATATTATGCTTGGTCATCATCTTTATTATCTGTGCTTCATCATTTTCCTGAGTAAAAGACTTTTCCTTAATTTTTCACATATGTATTACCATTGTGTATTATCATCATTAAGAACTTTTAGAATTTCCACATATTAATATGCATTAGAATGTATGCAGTATATTGTGATAACATATTTTGACAAAAGGGGAAAAATAAGTAAATTGAATTATTGAATGTTATAAAAATTTGCTACATCATTGTCATAAACATTTAAGGATTTTTATATGCTCATAATTAATATCCATTTCATGATTGTTCAGAATAACTTTAGTTTATAATGTTCTTATACTTTACATTTATCTAATTTTATATTTTACTATTTTAATATTTCACATTCTTTAATGAAAACATGTAAAGCACTATGATTATTATGTAATATTCGATATTTTAAACTCTAAGTTGCTAAAATGAACAAGTCATTTCTTGCTTCTTTTTTCTGTTTTCGAATTTTTGTGTTAAAGTAAAGTTCTTTATTGTAAAATCTATACATTATTTCAATACTTTTGTTGAAATTCTTTTATTCTTTACTATTGAATGTATAGTTGCTTAATGTATCTGTTTACAGCACATCGTTTACAATTTATTTCACTTACTGCATCACTTTTTGGACATATATGTTATAATATTCCCTGTTTCGTAATGCAAAAACTTTTATAGGTGTGATATCTGCAGATGATTTGCCGAGCGGATTCGATGATGAAGAACAATCGACTTTTATTGAAAGATTGGGCGCAGGCACGGACAAACTGTTAGCAAAATTCTTTTGTTGGTGGGGTACAGGTATGAAAATATTTCTTTCCATTACATTAGATATAATGCTACAATTTTATGTTATCTTTTTCCAGCATGTGCGTCACGTCCATGGTTTGTCCTATTCGTTGGTTTCTTATTTATTGTTGGTTTGGGACATGGAATAAAATATATACATGTTACCACTGATCCAGTTGAATTATGGGCTGCGCCACAATCTCGGTCACGAGTGGAAAGAGAATATTTCGATAAACATTTTGAACCATTCTATAGAACTGAGCAAATAATTATAACATCGGTTGATTTACCGAACGTAAGTTTTAATCGCGTGTAGAATTAATGTTTTTGTAACGCTGCATCAAAGACACATAATCATATCAATTCTTTTCAGATTGTTCATAATACATCTAATGGTCCGATAACGTTTGGTCCTGTGTTTAATGATACCTTCCTCAAGACTGTTTACAAATTACAAGAAGAAATAAAACAAATAACAACTCCGAATAATTATACCTTGGCAAATATATGTTTTGCACCATTTAATAGTCCTTTTACTGGACCATCAACAGTATCACAATGCATTATTCAAAGTGTTTGGGGATATTGGCAAGATAGTATAGAAACGTTTGATTATTCTATCATAGATGAGGATAATTTTACAGTAAATTATTTAGATCATTTCAGAGTTTGCTCACAGTAAGTTACAGAATATTATACAATAATTATGATATTTATAGAATATTAGATAAATGTAGGAAACTCTGCTAATAATTTTTCATTATATTTCATTGTTAGAAATGCATACAATCCTGAATGTCTTGCACCTTATGGTGGTCCTGTGGAACCAGCTATTGCTGTTGGCGGATTTTTATCTCCAGGTCAAGATCTCAGTAATCCTTCATATGAGAAGGCCACAGCAGTAATTTTGACCCTACTAGTAAATAATTATCACAATAAATCTAAATTACATCCGGCAATGGAATGGGAGAAAAGGTGTGTAAAATCATGCAACATGGAAAAAAGTATTCAAGCAGTATTTGAGCAGTATACAAGCATCATTTAAATGTTATTATGTTTTTAGCTATGTTGAATTTATGAAAAATTGGACAATGACAAAAAAGCCAGCATTTATGGATATTGCTTTCACTTCGGAACGATCAATAGAGGATGAATTAAATCGTGAATCTCAATCGGATGTTTTAACTATTCTTGTATCATATGTCATTATGTTCGCTTATATTGCAATTTCTCTTGGTCAGATAAAAAACTGCAGTCGGCTTCTGGTAAAAATAGCAAACAAAAAAGAATGATTTTTCTCTTTAAAATTAATCTATTATTTATTTTATCAATGTATATTTAATATCTATATTTCATTTCCAGATTGATTCTAAAATTACTCTTGGCCTTGGTGGTGTGCTTCTAGTATTGGCTTCTGTTGTATGTTCTGTTGGTTTCTTTGGTTTCGTTGGTGTTCCGGCTACTCTCATTATTATTGAAGTCATACCATTCCTCGTCCTTGCTGTCGGAGTAGACAATATTTTTATTCTGGTCCAAACACATCAGAGAGAAAGTCGTCATCCTAATGAATCAGTACCTGAGCATATCGGTCGTATTCTCGGTCAAGTGGGACCAAGTATGTTGCTGACAAGCGTGTCAGAAAGTTGTTGTTTTTTCCTTGGTAAGTATTGAAAAAATATATATATTTTAAGTAGAAAAAATATTAATTTCAGAATGTTAAAAATATTTTATCTGTTTAGGAGGATTATCTGATATGCCTGCTGTTAAAGCTTTTGCTTTATATGCTGGCATGGCGTTATTGGTAGATTTTGTACTGCAAGTCACATGTTTTGTTAGTTTATTGGCATTAGACACTGTTCGTCAAGCAGTATGTATTAATAAAATTAGATTTATACCTACATTCTGTAACAAAAGTATAACTCATTTCTATGTAAATGTTTTAGAACAATAAACTTGACGTATGTTGTTTTGTACATGGTTCAAAAAAAGATGATGGCGAAGAAGTAGTAAATGGAATTTTATACAAACTTTTCAAAGTTGTTTATGTTCCATTACTGCTGAAAAAGTGGGTACGTGCATTCGTTATGTTAATATTCTTTGGTTGGATTTGCTCAAGTATCGCGGTTGTTCCACATATTGAAATTGGTCTAGACCAAGAACTTTCCATGCCTGAGGATAGTTTCGTTTTGAAATATTTCAAAGTAAGTAGTATTACAGATTCGCTTATGAAAAATGCAAATATCTAAAAATTAGTTATAATGCTTTCCTTTTCCTCCTTTCTTTCTTTCTTTTTTTTTCTTTTTTTCCTTTTTTACAGTTTTTGAATAATTACTTATCTATTGGACCACCAATGTACTTTGTTGTAAAAGGAGGCTTAAATTATTCTGACATAAGAGCACAAAATCTTGTGTGTGGTGGTCAGTATTGCAACAGTGATTCGGTGTCCACTCAAATATTTATAGCATCAAAACAATCAAACAGGTAAGAAGTATAAAAAATATATTTTTAATTATATCAAATCATGTAACATAATGATGTAATTATTCATCTAGGACATATATAGCAAAACCTGCATCGTCATGGCTAGATGATTATATCGATTGGTCTCAATTATCAACCTGTTGTAAATATTTTGTTTCAAATGATTCCTTCTGCCCACATACAGGTATAAGAGAGAACTTTTTGTAATATTTTATGACGTATTATTAAAAAGTAAACAAACAAATATTTTATATTTTCAGGGTCTATCAAATATTGCTCTTCGTGTAATATCACTACCAATAATATTGGTCGACCGGTACCAACAGACTTCGATCGATATGTATCATTTTTCTTGCAAGACAATCCCGATGAAACATGTGCCAAAGCAGGTCATGCTGCTTATGGGCAAGGTGTTAATTATATTACTGACCCTGAGACAGGTCTGTCGAAAGTCGGAGCGTCCTATTTTATGGCTTACCATACTATATTAAAAACATCCGCTGATTATTATGAATCAATGAGAGCTGCTAGAGCTCTATCAGCAAATATAACAGACATGATTAACAGTTACCTAAAAAATATCAGTGATAGTTCAACTGTTGAAGTGTTTCCGTACAGCGTATTCTACGTTTTTTATGAACAGTACTTAACAATGTGGCCTGATACATTGTATAGTATAGGAATATCTTTAATTGCCATTTTCGTAGTAACTTTTCTTTTGATGGGCTTGGACATATTTTCTTCTATTGTCGTTGTAATAACCATCACGATGATTGTTGTCAATATTGCTGGTTTAATGTATTGGTGGCACATAACATTAAATGCAGTATCTCTCGTTAACCTCGTTATGGTAAATATATCGAGTTTAAGGTTCCATGCACACTAGCAGAATTAATAATTTGTTTTCTTCCATAGGCTGTTGGAATAGCTGTAGAATTTTGTAGTCACTTGGTGCATTCCTTCTCAGTATCAGTGAAAGCAACGAGAGTTGAAAGAGTTGCTGATGCATTGACGAATATGGGAAGTTCTATCTTTAGTGGTATCACTCTCACAAAGTTTGGTGGAATTGTAGTACTTGGTTTTGCTAAAAGCCAAATCTTTAAGGTATATCTGAATAACTGAATCACTTGTTTTTTTTTTTTTTTGCATTTCTTATATCTTGTATAAAATGAAACTTTTATTTTGGATTAAAAATTTCTAGGTATTTTACTTCAGAATGTATCTTGGTATTGTGCTGTTTGGGGCTGCACATGGTTTAATATTCTTGCCAGTTTTACTAAGTTACATTGGTAAGAGTGATTGATTAGTTAGAATTTTAATAGTATATTTTCACATTTAAATCTAATTTACGTGCATATCATTTCACATTAACTTCATTTATATATTACTTAAAAATAGAAAAAAGAAAACACCAGTGCCAGTTAAATAATATAAGAAAAAATAAATTCAATTTCCATATCCCTAAATATTATAATATATAATTAGCATGCAAGAAGGTTGCGTTTTACAGACAAAGTATACGTGCATTCACATGTATTTACTTCCAAGTAACTTTTTGTACTTTTGTTCATATAACAGGTATACAAATTTGTCTCCAAATTTTGACGACCTTCTAGTAACTTCTATTTATAAAAATTACAAATAAAATTAAAGTAACAATTTAAGCGAGCTTTGTCATGGCTTCTGGTGGTTCTAGGCACTCCTATGAATAGAGAAAAACTGGCAAATCACAAGAGAACAATGGAAGGAAATCTAGACAACGTACAGGAGACTTCTTTGAATCATCGCGTAAGCAAACTCAATTCTCCTCCCACACCCACCACAAGCACACCTACCTTCAGAGTGCTCGAATATGAAAGATAGGTATGCAGGACACACATACTTTTACACTTTTTTTTTTTTGTGTCATGATAATATTCCTATCTTTGCTCAGATTATTGATACTCAATACAGCTTTATGCAACACCTGGCTTTATTTCGAAATTAATTGATAGAAGCAAACAGTTTTTGATAGTTGATATGTAATACAATCATTGTAAATATTTCTGACACATTATATGGAATCTTTTGCACTTGCTTAACTCTAATACAGATACTTGAAATTGCAAACGTTGTAAGCTTGTTTCCGAAATTTGTTTATTTTAATGAAGTCTGTGTATGTCGATGAGTGTGGGATGGGATATGTATTTTTATAAGAACGTGCTTTTGTGTTAAAGTCACCTTTTTCTTTTCTTTTTTATTCTTTTCTTCTTTTTTTTTTTTTTTTTTTTTTTTTTTTTTCATTCAATAATTAAAAATTAGTTGCAAAATTTCTTCTTTCATTCAATATAATTTAAAAAGTTAAAAGAGGGATATGGAAAAGGTGTATTATCACTGGTGAATAGATTTCGTATCTTCCTCTTTTTTTTAACAAATCATTATTTCTGTTTCGTATATTCCTTGAGCACCATTATTGGTATTGCAATTTATCTATTTTATCTATTTTATCTAACGTACTAATGTGCTTTCTGTCAGCTATGATTTGTACTGAAGGTCGAAGTAAATGTTTAAAGAATGTTTACTTTATGTTGTTATTTACAGGCGTGATGTCGCGCCGAGGGCATAGAAGAGCCCACGAATGTGCCAGCAGGGCTAGAAACGAATTTAGGAGCCAAATGTGTGGGCCTGACTCTCCTTTACTCCAAAACAATCAGCACCCAACCACTTCCTACGCCAGTGTGAACTCCATAGATCCGTCATATCATCGAGTGACTTTTTAACACTTAATTATTGTCCAAATTTAATCATACAGTAACTTTTATACTTAGAGAGACTGAATATAATCTGTTTGTGTAATATAGAATTATTTTTACTACGGTCAACAACTTACTTTTTAAAAGTTTTAGTAGATTTGCTACTGACGCTGAATGATGATCGGGAAAAGCATGTTATCGATGCGAACTATGAAGTTCACGTTTGGTATTTTTTATAATTAGGAAGGGAGAAATTACGTGTCTTGTTGTTATTATTAACATAATAAGATTTCGTTATATTTAGGATATTTAATTATAGAAGAACGTCTTATGGTTTTACATAGTTCTGTTATTAAAGCTCTAAGATCTATTCATATAATATTTGAATTCAAATCGATTCGATCGATTGAAAACAAGGAATGTATAATTTAATTTTAACTAACTTCAATTTCATGTTTTCAGTGGTAGTGATATTTTTTCAATGAAAGTGCATAAATCTATGTTGCTTGGCAGACGGTAAATGTACCTGCATTTTGGTCGTGCTTTATGTATACGTGTGCATTTTTTCATTGTGAGGTAAATTTAGTTTCCGATATAGCAGTCGTGTAATTTTTGCGTAAGTTATTGCCGCGATAAAATTTGAATATTTTCGTATTATTTTTTTACATAATCTCTTTTTCTTTTCTTTTTTCTTTTTAAAAATTTTTTTTTTTTATATATATATATATAATTTCAAATGTTTTGCACGACAGAAATTGTATTCAGAAATATTAACTATTTTATTTAATGTAAAACATCGAACTCTTACGCATTTGAATTTGGTATTATACAAACATATCTGTGCTTATAATTTAATTAATTAACATGCTACAATTAAATTAACGTAGCGTTCCGCATGGTTAGTTTTATCATTAATAATTTAAAATTTATAGCTTTCGTGTCGGAGTACAATACTTTACCTTGCGTTTTATTCTCTCCATATATGTATAGACAATAATGTTTTTCGATAGTATTCATTATTTCTTGTATGTGGCTGATATTAGTAACATTTTCTAGAAACGTGTCTTTAATTCAAAGTAAGCATTCGGGGAACATTTATTATTTTTATTTTTTCTTGTAATTAATAGGTCTTAAGTAATTTTTCTTTTCTGTTTTTTTTTCTTTTTTTTTCTTTTTTCTTTTTTCTTTTTTTTTTCTTTTTTTTTCTTTTTTTTTTTTCCTATTACCTACAATTTCATTGGACATAAACATACTATTAAACGAGTCAAAACAAAGATCCAGTGTTCAAAGAAAAAATCAACAATGAATTGCTGTTTCTTAATGTACAGTTGTCACGTAGTTCTATCAGGTTTCGTTCTCATAATTTGTTTAGAATTATAGATAATTAAGGTGTTCAATGAAAAGGAAAAAGAGGTAGTTAGTCTTATTACTGGAAATTGAAGAGCGTAAACGTATTACCATTTAATTTCTGTTGCGTGCTTCATTGGTGTAAAATGTCTCGTAAGAAGTGTAATGTTTCTGCTCAATGCCTGTAATGAATTTCGACAGTATTGTTTTTTCGTATGTGAAATTAGACGGAGAAGAATGATCGAATAGCTTGGTTGCATCGAAACAATGCGAATCTTCTCTATAAACATGAACATTTCCGGTCACGAGTTTAAACTCACATGTTTTATAAAAATTATTTGTATACGATAACGATTTTTATACTGATCACAAAAGAGTATGTAACGTAATGTTATAAAAACCTCGCTAGTTAAAATTATTATAAATGATACGTTGGTGATTGTTACGATATTATGCTACAATGTACACGGGTGAAAGTGGTATTCGTTCATATAAATCGGTGTTTGCAAGTCCGATCGAGTAATTCGTTCCGAGTGATTCGAGTAAGTACGAACTTAGTATTTGAGCAATCAAATGCATGTTCAACGTGTGCAAATGATTAAGAAAAGAAAGTACCGTGAACGTAAAATAATGGGTGCCGCGACTCGGCAAAAAATACGTAAAATCATATTCGGGTTTATTCATATATGAATATGTCATAAACAACATATCACTGCAAAAACTTCAGTATTAAATTTTTGTAACAAGCAAAGCACGACGGTACTACCAAAGAGATGTCCGAACAACACGATACCGTGTTAACACGTAATATGAATAAAAATTTTTCTGTTTGTATAATACATGTGTTTTGTACATTTTTTATATCCAAACGATTTAAAAATACCAGGTATGTAAGAACAATGTTAGCAAAGATATGCATACCAAACATGTGCTTCCATACCGCATCTTTGTGCCAAACTAATCTCGTAATTTAGTAAAAATCTGTTAATACTTATTTTACAATAAAATAGAGGATTTATTGAGCTATCTTACATAAATAAAGTGATAATTACATATTAAATACAACGGGATTGTCTTTTGTGTGTGTGCGTGTGCGTGTGTGTGTGTGTTTAAAAGAGTCACGGTCATTTCGAAATAACGAAGTTAGTCCATCGCATGCAGAGGACCGAACAGATGAACTGCTGGACAATTTTCATCCGGATTACCAAGAAATTGAGCATACAGTTCTTGATAGCGTGACAAAGTTAGTCCCCCGCGTCTCCGGTCATCGTCCTACGAACAAATAAACGATTGACTAAAACAAGAAGCAAGAAAATTCGTAGAGTCATGTATATTAGCAATATAACATTATATTTCTATATAAAATATAAAATTGATGATCGCACGAACGTTAATTTATATTGCTAGTATTATCATTGAAATTTAAGTTTGGTCTATAAACATTTTCAGTTATTATTACATGCTTCCATTGTTTACCGAACATAAAACCATCAAATCTGGCAGATTACCAAGCTATTGTTTTTTATGTCAAATTTAAAATTAATTATATTGTATTCGTAACTTCATTACTTCTTTTCGAGGTTTCAATATCGTCAAAAATAGATTTTGATAGATACGTTCCAGGTCAGATTTGTTGGGTCAAAGATCAAAAGTAGTTCTATGTATAGACGCGATGCAATAGAAAGGTTACATAGCAAATCGGCTGGGATCCGATAAGATCAGGCGATCTTTGAATCGTCCATTTATGAAAATGATTTATAATATAATCTTCTTACATTAAGAAGATTTTGATATGCTTCATCCAGAATATTTACGTTGTTCACAGGAATCCTTGTTACACAATTGTAACGAAATTCATCAGCAGCAATTACACCATCATCTAAAAATGATAATAATATATCAATAATACGTTTGAAACAAAACGCTGTACAATTGATTTCTCTACCATTTAAATCTACTATCTTAAAGTGACTATCGATGAACATCTTCATCGCTTGTGGGAAATCTCGAAACTCTCGACCAACGCAACTTCTTTGTACTGCTTCCTTGAACTCTTCGGTGGTTACAATACCATCCTAGTTAAAAAATATAAATAAAATATTGACAGGGAAAATGCATTCTATTAATCTTACTTTATTAAAATCGGCAAGTTCTGCAATTTCTTCCCACAAAGAAAGCATGATGTGTAAATTCTCTTGATATCGACCGTAACTGAACTCTCCTTTTCCTTCGATCAAAGTCATTTTGAGAGCCATACATTCGAAATCATGTTTGTCCAATATGCCATTGTTATCTGTGTCTAAATATGGTAATTGTGAAATTATACATTATTAGCGGAGTTCATATACACGTAAAATCTAGAAGTTAACGTGTGTAAAACAGTCAATTAATTGATCGGTTCGTGCCAATTCATGTCTAAGGAAATTCTTATCATTATTCAGCTGGATACACTCCAAATATTCCATTTTTTGGCAAAGGTCGACATTCGTCATGAAGTACACAACCTTCACATGCATTGTTCGATTAAATTCGTATTTTGTATCGAAACGACGTTCATTATGAAATTTTACCGATTACTCGATTCGATCAATTATCGACTTTATCTACATCTGTAATATCGATGTTACCTGTTACTGCTTTTTCTCATACATCGATATTATCAAATATCGATGTCCGTTAAACTTCGAAGTAACCGGTATCGTATTCATTGTAAATTTTTCTTCACACGATTCATTTAATATCGATGACAATCGAACCTCTCTCTTTGTGAACAGGTTGTTTGATTATCACGTAATATTAAGTTTGTAATTATTACAACGTTACAAGTTGTTAATGATGCATTGTTTGCACACGATCAAGACGCATATTAAGCGATGTGTTGAAAAGAATCGAACAGATTGTTCCGTAAAACAAATTAGAGCCAAGCTTAAATTTGGCATCGACCAACTGCAGACGTTACGACGACGGCATGGTATACTTTAAAGTCAACCTACATCCTAAACAAGCATGACAATCTTGAAGCCAACAGAACTTTTTTCGTTCCTTGTCTTTTTTGGAACTCGAGTATAAAGCTCATTTTTTTCTTTTGATTTTTCATACATAGAAACCTGTTAGTACGCACAAATTCACTTTCAGGAGGGATCAATGGTCGATACATATTTTCTATATCTTTCCTGCTATAATATTGGAAAAATAAAATTCCACAGGGGTTCATGAGTTTCACATAAGACACACATTGCATTTTAATGATGCCTGGACAACAACAATACTCGTTACATGCTCTCAATGTAAAGTAATAAATATTATATGTGCAGCAGCCAAGGTACGATCACGCACATACTATTGAAAATAATGGCGTACTAACCGTAAAGAAATCTTACAATGAAATCTACTCTTTTATCCCAGCTATATGCCATTCTCCGAGATGTCTTTTCGACAGTACCAATCCTGCTTTTATCGTGATTTCTTTTTCTTCTTAATCGCGAATTACTCTGTTTTCTTTCTATATTCTTGCGAAAGAGAGATTAACTCGATATGAAACTGAACAAAACGTAAGAATCTCGCGATAGTCGAGTGTATGAAAAAAACACAAATGGCAACGGCGCAACAACGATGTAGGAACTGATTCGAGAGAATGGTGGTTTTGCACTGAATTCGAGACGAGTCTTCTCGAGTCGTGGCTAAGTTTAGAGTATCCCCCCTAAGAGAAGGACATGGTAATAATGCCCGCGACACAGAGAAGGGGCTCAAGTAGAGCTGGTGACGGTTCCGCTGTCACCATGACACAGTCACCGAACTCTTCTGAAAGTAATTCGCTTTCGCCGGCTTTCATCGGACAGCATCTTTTGTCCATGCTCACCTCGCTTCTTTCGCTTTGTTCAACTGTAACAATTTTATTAGAAATATTATTATGTATTCTTTGAAATTTCTTCTGTTCGCAGCAAATTGAATTATTTACGTTTCTTTGGATTGCAGAAGATAATCAAACGAAAACCATGACGAAAGAAATTAGATATACCACAAATGATCAAAATGTAATCTACATAAGAAGAAAGAAAAGATTTGGATGAATAAATTCATGATAGAATAAGCATAATTGTTATTACAGACATTTTATTTTTCCACTGTACTTTCAGCTTCCGATTATTTCACTGGCTCTCATAGAAAGAGCAGTAATTACACACAATAACCAGGAAAGTTTTCATCTGTATCTAGCAGAATGAATTATTTTTCGATGACGGCTAATTAGGACTGCCTGTCAACATTAAGCCCGACGAATGACATTCGTGTTATTTATGCGCGAATCTATACATACAGCACAATGGTAATGGGAGAAGCTTTTTATTTTTGGGTAGAAAATGCGTAGTACAGCGGAAAGATTATTTTTACGTAAGCATAAAATATAAAGTGCTTGTCTCGAATAATAAAGATCACGTGTCAATATGTGTTTGTCAACCATGACATTGATTTGTAGGAACTCGGTGGATCTGTGATATTCAAGGCTAACAGAACAGTTACAAAGTAAGTGCATTAGAGACGAGAGGGAGATCTTTTAAATATATCTTCGAATCACGTCAGCATAACCATCATCTGGAACAGATTAACCACGTCAATGAGGTTGCTTACGATTTGTTAGCGCGTATGCTTTCGCGCTTTCTCGGAACCGCGACCTTCTGAAATCCCAATGCTGATACATTACTCAAAAACAGATCAACCAAACAGAAACGAACACATCTATTGTAAAACAGCAATTTTATTACGGTTGCATCATCTTTCCTTTGGCTCGTCGAAAACGACTTCTCTGCCTATACATTCGCACGCGAAACGTTCAAAATTGTTTCCCGTGCTTTCTCCTTTTTCGTTTGTTGCGACCACTCCCGTTTTTACGGTTACATGAATCATATAGGAAATAAAAGCTACATTACGTTACACACAAACTGTCTAATAATTGAATTTCAAAGGTTTCGCGAGTTTGTAATGTGTAGTCCATAGATGATCGTTCTACATATCCCGATCGATGATTAGTGAAAATAAGCAAAGCGGAAGATGAACGGGCTAAGCGAATACTCATCATATAAGGCTCGATTCTGGAGGGAGGTGTCAGTTGGAAAGTGCGAGCTCTCGTACGAAGAACGAGAAACGGAACGTTTCGGTCTGTGAGCGATCGACATGAAACCGAAGCTGCGTTCTCTGCTCTTGTTCGCGCTTTTCTTTTCCGGTGAGTTTCGCGATTCCTATGCATACACATCGTTCGAGGATTGATCGCGGTCGTTAATACGGTTTTTGGCATGGTTGTCACATGTAAATTTTCGCAAGTTACATTCGGCGTTCTGATTACTTTCATATCGAAGGGGTTAGGATTTAAAAAAAGAAAAAAAACGAAAACGAATCATTGGGAAAAGTTAAATTTCCGCATCCGAATCACGATGCGTGCCGGAAATTTCACTTCCGCCTTTGGGATTCAATGTGAAAATATCGGGACAAATAACAAGATTTCTCTTTCAGAATGATTATTTCAAAGAGAGCCGTGAAAGTTTCATAGCATAGAGTTGGCTAGTTTTGCTAGTTGTTTTGTTGCAAATTTGGAACAATACGCAGCTAGCGTTGCGTTCTATATCCGTTTAGCATATTTAGCTCAGCAAAGACAGAACGAAGATAGTTTTGGCAGAAGGTCGAGGTTCGATTGAATTTCCGTATATTCTAGCGGATACATCGCTAGGAAAAGAGAAATCGGAGGACACACCGTGTATCGATGACAGCAAGTTTTATCGAAATCCCAATGCACCGGCGCATGATGTTTGGTCGCCGACCGAATGTGCCAAGTATTATCTTTGCCTAGGTAATTATATCCCGATTATATTTTACCACCTTTGAGATCGACTTGCAATTTTAATGAATTTTCTTCGATTGACAGATAACGAAGTGTTTGAATTCAGATGCTCTCAGGGGCTGCTGTTCGACGTTACTAAACAAGTGTGCGATTTCAAGGCGAATGTCGACAATTGCGACGTGATGTCAGGTATACACTATTTGAAATTTTTTTAAGATTACCGCAATACAAAAAGAAAAAGAAAAAGAAAAAGAAAGAAAAAAAGAAAAGAAAAATGTAGATACAGTTGAATAATAAGAAGGGTGCATTATCGAATCACATCGGATGGTGATTGGAAACTCTTTAAGCGTTTTACAGAGTCGCAGCCACCGAGACCGCTTCTTCAGGACGCTGACTGCGAAGAGAAACATTTGGCTTGCGGCGATGGTACGTGCTTCCCGGCTACATACTTCTGCGACGGGAGCGTCGATTGTCCCGATGCCTCTGACGAGGGCTGGTGTGGTAATATTAAAGTGTTTGACATTCAATGACGTTTCATTCATAGATGAATTTAACATCTTGTATCATTTTCATAGATACTCAAAACGATCCAAATGGCGCGCTACCTTGCAATTCAAGAGAATGTCACTTGCCTAATTGTTGGTGCTCCAAGGACGGAACTCAAATACCTGGCAACTTGACGACGTCGATGGTCCCGCAGATGATAACAATTACTTTTGATGACGCCGTGAATACGGAAAATTTCCAGCTTTTCTCTAGTATGTGCAAAACTATTTCACGAAATACGTACATTTAGAAAATGTTGATCGCTCATTTACATTCTGTTTTCCTTTCTAGAAATTTTTTCAAACGGTAGGAAAAATCCTAATGGATGTCCTATTAGAGGGACTTTCTATGTCAGTCATCAGTATACTAATTACAGAGACGTACAATATTTATGGAATATTGGACACGAAATTGCGGCGCATTCCGTCACGTAAAAATTCTTTGTAATACTAATCGAATGGTATCGAGTAACATATGTATTAACTATTTCAAATAAACAGGCATCGGGGACCGGAAGAGTGGTGGTCGAAAAATGCTACTATCGAGGATTGGTTCGACGAAATGGTTGGCGTAGCAAATATTATTAACAAATATGCTGCGGTTCGTTTGAAAGACATTAAAGGTAAGCGAACAAATCATTAAGATGATCTAATTTGATCGTGTCTTTAAAACAAAAAATATTTCAACTAAGAAAATCGATGGAATAGGTTTGAGAGCTCCCTTTTTACGAATCGGTTGGAATCGACAATTTTTAATGATGTCAGAGTTTGGATTTATCTATGATTCATCTATGATAACTCCATTTACCAATCTACCTATATGGCCTTATACACTTGACTATAAATCACCACACAGTTGCGTAGATCCCGAACAGCTTTGTCCAACTCGTGCATACCCAGGTCTCTGGGAGCTTCCAATAAATCAACTTTTGGCAGGTGTAAGTTTATATAACAACATTATATTACATAATCAAACATTATTGATTCTTATTCTATATCAACAACACAATGTTAATGCACACAACGATAAATAAAATAATTATCTGTGACAGCAATATACTTGTGCAAGAGTGGATTCGTGTCCTTCGGATTTATCCGGTGAAGATATATACAAAATATTAATGCTAAATTTTAAAAGGCATTACCTTAGCAATCGTGCACCACTAGGCTTACACTTTCATGCATCTTGGTTTCAAAATCTATCGTATTTCTACGCATTTAGTGTAAGTAAATATTACGATTAGTATTTAGATATTTTACAGGTGTCATTTGTATCAAACGATTAATTTTAGAAATTCATGGACGACGTACTGCGATTGAATGATGTCTACTTTGTAACGAGTTATCAAGTAATCGAATGGATGCGTAAACCAACACCCCTAAATATGATCGAAACGTTTAGGCCTTGGCAATGTAATTCCCGTAAATTCCAGCCATTTGAACTTGCTTGCGATTTACCGAGCAGTTGCAAATTACCGAGTAGAGTACTTAAATCGTATCGTTATTTACATACATGTTTCGAATGTCCCAAAGAATATCCATGGTTGAGAAACGAATTTGGAATGGAATAGTAAGTTCGTACACAAAGCAAGATTCGTGATTATGCATGCGAATAAAAATAAATTATCAAATTATTTATTTGAAGAAGTTTGCATTTATATTTTTATACGAAAATTATGTTCATTTTCTATATAAGTTTACATAGTTTGTAATGTAACATAAATTACATTTAGCTCCATTACAAAAAAATTAATCCACCATTGCAACATACAAATTAGTTTACTCTCAAGACTTAATTTCTTGTTAAAAATGTTGATCGAAGAAAGAATAAATTTTGTTAACCTTCTTGCTGTATGAAAGGATTTTGAATAGATTCCATTCCATCTACTGGACAAATAAGTACCACAGATGTACCTCTACATACAACTAAACCTAACATACGAGTGTCTTGATTTAACTTGTACGGATCATCTGGATCTAGAGGGACAAACGTTTTAATAAATATTTGTAGTGATAGAGTGAGATAATAATTAGTAAAATTACCTCTAAGGTATTCCGTGGTATTATCAAGTACTAAGTTCAGAAGAGGATCATATCCTTTTAAAATTCCTGCAGCTTCCCTTCCACCGGTGAATTTTACTCTAATATTTTTCTCCAAATATTTCGAGAGGTCGAGAATACTCTCTTTCCTTTTCTTTTCCCTCGGTTCTCCGTGAGCATTTTGTTGCTATAAAAAACATAAAGAAAATTGAACGGCTTGTAGGTTATGTTGTTAAAATAACGAATCTTTACCTGCTTAGCCGCCTGTAAAATGAAACACATCAATCAGGTTATTCCATTGATTTTTCTGTAGATGAAGTTTTGGTATTAAAAATAGTTCTCTTTATACTTACAGACATTGTTTGGTTTTCTTATTAAGTGGGAACGTTCCGCTACCGTATTAGCATGCGAATAAGACACATTTTAAACCAACGTTTGATTTAGAGGTTAAATTCCTTGTTTGGCTTTTCAAATATCGATTCTCGATTCCTTCCCGCGCTTAACTCTACTCGAAGAAGCGATAGTCTCATCAATGTACAGTGAATGTCTAGTTCCCTTACCAGTGAATAATGTTATATGTGAAATTGAGGAAAAATTGTTAATAAAGTATTAAAATATTTTAAACATCTTTATTATAATAACGTCAATTATCATTCAAATGGTAACAATGGGAATACGGCAACAGTTGCAACAATTTCGTAAAAGCTTGGATTTATTTCGTATCCGATTTATAAAAAAATACATGTTAATACATGGTGTGTGAATGAATGAGTGGTACAGTTAAAGTGACTGTTTCTCATTTACGTCTTTAAGAATAAAATTTGTGATTGTAACAAATGTTTATTAAATCCTATGATTATGAATGGGATTTTCGTGACACGGCAGATTATCGTTTCCTCCTAACTGTTCGGCGCATATGTCCGTTTCACCCTCGTTACAAATATCATTCATATCTTTCGCATCTTTCGCATCATTTTATTTAAAATTATCAATACTCTGTAATCGTTGTGCTTGCGATAACATTACCTTTACAAGTATTCTCTACCGTTCAATAAAACTGATATTGTACATCAACTTGTCATAATTTGACTCTTCCGTATTTCATTCACTCGAACTCGTACTATTTTAACTCGTATATTGTCCATAACTTCATTCTGGCTGGCTGCTTTTGGATGGACACTGTATTACTGTGTACGATTAAAACTTATCGATGCAACAGCTAAATAATTCGTTCTTTTAACTTATAACTTACGTTCAATTTATATTACTGTTTAGGCAAAAATTAAATTCGATGTATAAAATACATACTTCGACCAAGTTTTCAACAAGCAAGGCTTAAATACATCTACATAAAATCTATCATCATAACATTTCGTGTATATGTTCTTCGTGTTTCTGTGACTGTCTGTAAGTTAATTGTACGCTATTTCACAGAGCTTAAAGAGTACGTTATCATTTATCATACTATCGCGCATCGGTTCGGTCTGAAAGACTCGCTAGAAAAAAGAAAGGATACTATGGCATTGGCTGTTGATGAAAAGAACAATTAAGTCATAGCATTAAACGTTTCTCTTTTCTAGGAGTACAGGCAATATCAGTTTTTGGACGAAATCAATTGCCGAAGGTTTACACAGGGTAACTTTTCGTATAAAGTTGTAATAAAGAATTTACCAGCCGTGTTAAAAATATAAAGATTACTTAGGTTGACGTTATCTGGAATAGATTCCATAAGATGTAAGCGTGAATCACATTTAGACGATTTGTCATGTTTGCTGTCGATCTTCTTCTTGTTCGGATAACAATGGAATGTCGTTCATCTGATCCACATTATTGCTCTCCGTCTCATCTTGTTCCGAAAGCAAAGGAACTACTTGCCGATTATTATTATCAATTTCGGAAGGTCGTCTACTTTGCCCGGGTAAGAAAGACATTGGTATCGTGCCCGATGGTGTTGTCGGTGCAGATCGTGATAACCATCGCTTAGCTTTACTTTTCGAATTTGGAAGGCCTAATGGCATATACATTTTTCCTCGTGTTCGTCTAGTTTTATAAGATCCAATGTCTCCTGGACTTAGAGGCCGCTGCGTAGAGCCGTTTGCATTTGAAGCACATAAAACTTGAGGTCGATTTTGGTAACAAGACAAAACGGTGCTATGCCCACCGGGTAATTGGGGTAATTGTTGAATTTTATCTAACAGTTCACGTAACTACGAAATAACATTAAACGTTAAAAGAAATGAATATTTTGAATATAATCGTCTTGAAAATTATGTCACTCGGCTACAATGCATACCTCTATCGTTGGACTAGTAGCCCGCGGTGGTGAACACGGAGATTGAGCAGCTAAACTCGATATGTCAGAAGTAGTTCTATGATTAGCCAATGATACGACCGATCCAACGTCCATATTTTCCATTCTGGCACATTCTACTGCAGATAGCTCGTCAACGCTATTATTACACGAATACGGTGGTGGAATTATGGTATTTGCTTCATTCACCATATTACACATAAAACTTGAACCTAATGAATCTAATGTGCTCGCGTGTGAGAGTGATCTAAAATAACGCATTACAAATCCCGAAGTTCCTTTACCAGATCCTTCATCGTATCCAATAACTAATGGATACAGATTTGGTTTGGCCGTAACCTAAAATTTGAACACTTTAGCACGATGCCTATTTAAATATTGAAATATTGAAATATTTCATAAATTTGATGAACATACCTCATTATATGGAGGTGGTAATGCTTGGACAAAGGAACCAGAACATCTATAACGAGGTGGAGCATACCAAGATACCGAAGATTCTCTGTCGGAGGAAGTAAAATCTTCTACTATTTCAGGAGACCATGAACGATGACGAAATGAATGATGACGTTTCCATAACCAGCAACTACATGCTGCTGCTATAGCCAATCCAACAAGCACTGCTGCCCTACATAATACATTTGGAATGAATTGAATTGCTAGAAAGGACAAATGAAACGAAAAAACAGAATACTGACCATAAGTACCAATAAGTCCAAATTGCAAAAACATACATGTCTGATGAAGAGCGCATGTCAAAAAGCCCGTAACAACAGCCAAGGGTACAGCACTCTTGTGGAGGAGGGCAACTAGGAATTGAAAAATAATTATTAATTTAAATCTAAAGGCTATACAGAGTAAATAAGCACATTAAGCACAAAAAATGAAAAACTTACACACGCCCCCCATTGCACAGCCTAGAAGACACCTAAATATCAATAAAAAGGAAAGTAATTGTGTTATTCAATATAAAAGGAACCATTTAATTGAATTTAAATTTTAAGGAAATCTATGACATATAAGCGTTACATGCGAATGTTCACAAATATTTAATGTAATATTTTCTACAAAAAGAAGTCAATTGGAAAAGTGAAAGAAACTAAATATTTAGAAAATTTAAAATTGATAATGAAAAGTACCACGATACTTGCTACACCAAAATTCCATTGATACTCTCGTACCCGTCAGGGATCATCCGACTATAAAGGATTGTTTTCGTCGCGAGATAATGTACGGTGCAACAATAATTAGTCGTACACTGTGTTGATTTCATGGAGAAAACGTAATATTTTGAATTGTCGTAAAAAAAGATGGATGTGGAAAAGACTTACGCATGAATGAGAAACACAACGAACAAGAGTTCATTGTCTAGACACGGACGAGCCGTGCGTAAAACCGATGTATTGATCGACCTCAGGTCGAGCAGAATAGAACAAGGAGGCACTGGTACACGAGATATACGCTAACATTCTACAGGGCTATAGCATGCTGCTGAGGTGTACAAGAGCTGCATCATTAGAACGGTTCTTCATCGTCGCTCTTACTTGATCGACGAATAGCGTCAGGAGTACAGTCATCACGAGCACATCGAACGCGCGGTCTACAGCCTGCACCATAATTCTACCACGAAATGTATGCCACCGCACCACCATGTATATGTGTGTGTTTGGGTGTGTGTGCATATGTATGCATGCATATATATATAGCGCCACTATATAGCACGATTTCCTTTATCAAATATCTACCAATGGCTGCGAAACAACGTTTCTTTCCTTCCTATCCTAATTTGAATTTCCCAGTGTTGCGCTTTGCAATTTTTATACCGTTTAGCATTTCGTGACATTCAGTACCGTGACATATTTTTTAGAAAAACGAATGTAATATCACTTGCAATCTTAATTTACAAAATTATATAAGTTTTAATAATTTCTTTCATAATATCTTACTTTCTATAAGCAAAGACACGATAATCATAGCAGAAAGAAAACATATAAATTTATTTCAAAATGCAAACTGTAAAAACGCGGTATAATGGAGATATAACATGTACCACCAATCGGTAACTCGTTATCCCGTATATTTCTAAACGCGATTCGACGATTGAAACTTTTGAACTCGAAACTTAAATTCAAATGTTTAAGGGTTTGTAAAATTTGAATTTGAATTTGAGTTAATTTAAGAATTTGATTTTCGTAGAAGAAAGATCGTTAAATTCTCTATAATACATATGGAATAGATAATGCGTGTAGAAAATTAGTCTTTCATTAACCAATACAAGAAACGTTCGATAATTTAAGGGTATGCTTTTTAAAATACAAATATATGAATAAATTATTGGTCGGTCGGTAAGACTGTCACGTGTATGAAATCGTATAAATTCGATTGGACGGTCGGGCGTTTGATTGCCTCGCGATTGGTTGCTATGATCGTGTACTTGACAACCGTAAGGCTGCTAGACCGGTGTATTTCACCGCGCGTCATTCGCAGTGTGCGCGGCACTCGGTGCGTGAGCGTCGATGCGTGGTAAGTGCGCGGTGAGTACGGATACACGTTGTCGGAGTGGAGAACGCGGCGCGAGATCACCATGTGACGTTCGATGGATATGAACGATAACGATGATGGAAAAATCAACGATCGATCAACCGAGTGAATTTGAAACTCTGTGAAAGTATCAGAATCTGCTTTTAATTTACAGTTTTCACGGAGATCGCATTTGGAGAACATGAGATTACCGTAACAGACCAAAGGTGAATACATATATTTTATACAGCAATGATTTAATTTTAATAATACTCGTTTCACATTATTCGACAAAACACTTTTGTCGTTTGGAAGTTTTTATATCACATTTATCGTCGTTCTTAATTTGTGGAATGTGTATAGGTAGCATAGGGAATACCACTGACGTTGGGATATCATATATTCATATTCGCCATGTCCTGTCGCTTCATTCGTTCGACAGAGTGCGTGTTATCAATACATGTTTTGTTCGAAGCAATAGAATGGTGTTATCATTGGTTGCGCTATCAAAATTATGTCGTATTAATCGTCACAGCTGTATTTGTGTTCTTCCTTTTCTATAGTATCGTGTCTCCTTATGAAAGAGCAGAAGATTTATTTAATTTTACTAATTCATTAAGCAACGTTTATACTCATCCGGTATATATTTCCCGCGAACGATTATTTTCTTCGTTCGTGCATGCGACCGCTTGCAAACTAGCACGGCTTATGCATATTGTATAGGTACGCGCGTATAGTATCACTGGCAACGGAAGAATTCAGTTCGTCTCATGTTTTTCAAACACTCGAACGGTTGCGTTTCCCGCGTTCCTTTCAATCCAATTTTTCTTACAAGAAACTCATCATAAAGAATACTTTTTTCGATGCACATTCTCTATTCTTTATCCTCGCGTCGAATCATCAGTCGTTCGTTTTAATAGCGATATAGAATGATATTGATATTTCGCGATCGCTATTCGTTCGAATCGACCGAAGAAGGATTGTTTCGTTGCTCGTAAAGAGAAAAATTCAATCTAAACGCAAACTGCGTCACACTTCGTTCATCAACGCAAAACCAACCGCAATGTAACATCGAATCGATCGTCACAGTACGATAACAAATTACAGTTAGCTTTTGTCATAATCAAAGATCGGACTTGGCGGTGATCGCGAAGAAGTTGATGGTGGTCTCCTCGAACAAAGAAGTTCCTTTATTGTTGGGAACGATGTACACTCGAGTGTCTCAAGTGCATCGAGCACGGTACACTCGGTTACCCTGAACGCCTCGTTAACATTCCTCGTTAATCTGCGTTAAAAATTCACACGAACCAGCTCGAATAAAGAGGTGTAGAGTATTCATTTACATGGGTTGCCCGAAAAATCTGTCGGCAGGAAGAATGCAACGAAGAAAGTGTCGTGGAAGGTGTAAAGAGCGGAATCGTCAGACAGGCAGATCCCGTTTCCGCTGAGAGCTGGCCCAACCACGACGAACTTTTCCTGGATTCGGCTCACCGACGCCGGCCTATTTATACCTCGTCAGTTGTAACTGGCCATAATATAGCGGTGTGTAACTCGGTTGAAAGTTCGCCTAGCGACGCGATATCGAATGAAAAAAAGACATGGGAAGTTAGCACTTGCCGACTTTGGTTAAGATAAACGCGGATTCGTTGGAGAGAATAAAAATTAGGCGTACGCAACGGGGTGTAGGCATAGTCGGTGCACGAGTCAGCGTTGCGTGGGCGCCACGTACGCGTACGCGCCAGGTGTAAATAAAAGCGAACTCGTAACCCTCGGTTAGCGAAGCGCGGCCGAGCGGAACCTTTTCTTTCGTCCCATTGTCAGCTGGTCATCGTGTCTCTCTCTCTCTTTCTTTCTGTTCCTCTCCCTTTCCACCATCACCGTGCACGCTCGACTTTCTCAAAGCTATTGCCTATTACCGTAAGAATCCGTCTCGTCAACGCTAATTCCCTCGACGAACGAGGAAAACTCGCGCGACTCGCTCCTTATTTTCTCGAGGAATTCCTTTCTCCGTTGCAACGCGCACGCGAACGTGCATAGCTAATTCATTGTTTAAACCGACTTGGAATCGCGCCGTTCGTCTATATGGATTTTAGGAACTCCGTATAGGGTCGGCGGTATAAAATTGGCTAAATTTAATCGCGGTCGTGTTACCGGAATAGATAACGAGCTTTATAATTAGAGCGCCTCTCGTGGTAAGGAAGCATGTGGCTGGTAAAGAGTCACCCTCGAGCGCGTTATCTCGTGATTACGTGAAGGGAGAAATGAAAACAGTGGAGAAGTAACACACTGCCTCCTCTGTACGGTCAATTCTACTCCAGTTACTCGCACTCGGAGTATTTATATCTTTGGCTGCAATCAAAAGAGCTCGCGGCTGCTGTCTCGGCGAATCGCGTGTATACGTGTGAGTTAGCGAGTGCTTCTCAAACCGATGTACGGTCAGTTCCTCGAAATTCTGTTGTCCTAGTTTTAATCTCCTTTAATCTTCTTTTCCCGCCGTAACGTCGCTGTCTCTGTGGCGCCACAGGTACGAATCCTTTTTTGCACGATGGGGTTTATCAACGGAGGCGGATCGCGAGGTTGAAAGTGTAGCGATCTCACGTCTAGTGGCGCTCGCTAATTGGCGGGATAACCTCTCTACTCATTCTCTGTGGTGCGCGTTCGAAAATACGAAATCGAAGGATTCCGACGCGAAACTATTTCCACTTCCCCGACCTCCAACTTATCCTCCGAGTTTCCGTAATCATAATCAAAGTCGCGATAATTCTAATCTACTTGCTATGTCACTCGTGAACCGGGATTCAATGTATCATCGAGTCGCTAACTGAGTTATGTAACTGTGTTGGGTTTCGTTTAGCTATAGTCCATGTAAACGATTACTCTCGGTAAACGAGTGCAATTAGCCTCGCTATGCGATCGAATAATCCTGAATGTTGGACTATTGGAACGGGTTTGGGTTTTCACGCGAAGTTTATTCTTTCCGCGAAGATTTCTTGGAATCGGTCGACAACGTAGGGGGTAGGGTCAGGCTATGAATTTTATGATTTATTTGTGTTGCTCGTGGCAAAGGGTAGAGGAAAACAAGACGAGAAGATTGTGTGGGTACAGAGGATGCAGGGTTAGCTATTATAGCCGACTGTATGAATTACGACTGTGTGCATGCCAGTGACGTGCAGTCATCGGCCAATGTTGAGCGTCGATACCCCTTAGTTTTCGAGCCTATACTTAGCGGATAATCGACGCGATATACTGCGCTTATTAAGGGTGTAAAGCCGAGCCTCGCGTTATTCGGATGCTCACTGTTTTCTTTCATCTTGCATAAATTATCTTAGGACAACGATAAAATAGCAGGATAAAATAGGTTGGACGTTAGTCGCGACTCAACGCTATTAGAATAACATCGATTAATAACGTGAAATTGACATTGACTTTTACTCCGTCGAATGAAGAAAGATCGAGTCGTTATTAATTTATTCATACTTGAGACGCGTTGAGAATAATTTATTTCGATACGGAAGAGCAATTAATCGGTAATAAATAACAGTTCACGGTATTAAACACGATGCGGGTAATCGAGGGCGAGCATGATATTATCGAGTAAAGGAAATTTTAAGAGCAAAAGGAAAAAAAGAAGGGAGAAGAGAAGAAAAAGCTGGAGATGCCGGGGATCGAACCCGGGACCTTTCGCATGCAAAGCGAACGCTCTACCACTGAGCTACATCCCCTATTGAAAGAAACGTTGATAAAGTTGGAGAAAAATGTTCGATGGGTTTAACACTGTAGAAAGTAATAAATCAGTGATGCAATGAATTAATAGCGCAGAGTTGCATGGTGTCTAATGGCCAAGCCAATAATTTCAACGTAGAACTGACCGTGACCACCATGCGAGTGATTTTTAGCCATGAATACATTGAATCGTGCATGGGTACAATGTATGTACTTGAGAAATTGAAATTTTGCGCGTGAACGAGAATCGAGTGAAATCGAACAAGATGGAATCACGCGAAAGAATTTCCGTTCATTAAGACTGTGCCAGTTTCCCTAGACAGGATGTCGCAACTTTCCGCGTAATCGATGCGTCGAACGCGTTATTATCGAACGCTTTACATCGGCTTTCTCGTTTTTCTGCGATCATTAACTGTTGCGCTTTTTCGCGTGTCTACCAGCGTTTCAGCGTTTCAGCGTTTCAGCGTTTCCCACGCAGTTCATTCAATAAGCAGGCGTTTGTTCTCCCCCTTTTCTTCGCATTATTTTACTTTCATACCGAACGGGAAGACACAACGGTTGCTTTAAAAAGGGACGTTGCCCCGAATCTCATTGCAATGCTTCGATATCTAGCGATCGTTCTCAAAGCCTACGAATTAGCAAAGCAAATATGATGGCAAGTAGGATAATAAGCGAGCTACGAAACGCAGAATTAATGGCCCCGATCTGGAGCCATGGAAACGGAGAATGTCGTAATCGCGATCACTTCTCGAAAAATCGGACCGAGTCGTGGCTACAAGATGCCCGCTTCGGACCACGCTCTCGTATAATGCACCATTGTTGTTTCTTCGATATCACTGTATACGAGAATGAAACAACAACGAGGAATCGTCCAGTATCGTTGCCGAAGAATCTGCCGGTAATGCGCTAGCATAATAATTCCAAGAGGTGTGACTCCAAAATGGTTGTTTGTTCATTCCTACTCCTTCCATTTTTTCGTATTCTATCCACGGATTATCCACGGATTATCCACGGATGATCCACGGATGATCCACAAATGATCTATGGTACAGTATTGTTCTTCATTCTCTCCTCGAGTTATTAATTCTTCGCCATTTCAGTTCGTTGCGACTCTCGACCCAATTTCACTCATTCCTCTCGTGTTTCTTTCCCTTGGTTGTTCGTGAAAGGCACGTTGACCGTCCCAGTTTCCATTAATTTTTCTCTCAGTCAATCAGAAATATCTTCGACATCCGTTTTTCGCAAGAAGAATTCAAAGTAAACGTTGGAGAACATGCCGCTTGTCACGGTTCGTTACAGCGACTCTTTCCTCGAAGGCCATACTATTTCGAATTACGAGTCACTGACAACAGCCGATCGTCCCTCAATGGATCGTGGTAATAACGCAAAACTAGTCACAATTAAATTGATAGCCGTTGCCGTTTGTCCACGATATCTCGCTGACATAGCGATCGAGGCAATGCGTGAAAGTAATTTATTCGGAATATTCTTCGTTATATCCTCTGTAATATAAGTCTCTAACGTAACCTGCCTCACGATTATTACGCGTAACATTAGCCCTTGGCCCACCCTGTGCAGCCTGTACAGGAACATATGGCGCGGCACGTGCGATCGAACAACCGGTCTTCTCGGGCCTATACAGTCTACGTTGTCACGATATTCCATTATCGTTTTTCATTCGTTCGAACGTCTATCCATCTCGTCGCATAAACACATCGTTTTTTTATCTGTCGCTCGAGTAATCGTTTTATGGCAGCCTTAAGACCGATTTTCCATTTAACTCACTAGCGCCAGCACGGCCCGTTTCTCCAATAAATGTAATAAATATAAACGGTTGCATACATCGTGGAGTTATTTTCCAATTTTTCCTCGTACTACGTGTGTCATATTGTTTGCACGATATTGTTGAGAAATTTGTCGAGTTAGGGTTAGGTGATCTAAGTTGCAAGAAAGATGCCGCAGTGATGGGCATCAGTGGCCAGGAACCCTGAAATTTTGGAGGGACAAGCGAATCCACGCACGAGTCTTCGCAACGTGACTAATTGCGGCCACCCTGCAGATCTACGCACGTGCAGGCTCGTGTACAATCGTTCGCAATTGTCTGCGCGAGAATACAACGGTGGAAATCGGCTCTCGATTAATCACCGAGCGAACCAATTACGGCACAAGTTGTGTACCGTGACGAATTTGTCGAGGGGATGCCACGAGTCAGCAGACTTTTCGAAATTCTTGCAGAGTTTTCCACTATTTTCAATAGAAAATCGGTACGGTTGATGGACGAAAGGAACCGAGGCATTTTCCAGTGGGTCTAAACGTCCGTTGTGTCAAAACCTTTGCGGAGTTGGTACGTTCGTTAATTGGTTAACCTCTAATTGAGCACACGACGAACAGAGCGGTAGAATGTTAGAAGAGAGGGCAGCCTTAGAAGCGTAGATGAGAACTAATTAGCCATCGGTCGGCTCGACTGACCGATTGACGTCTTTGCTCCTTATTTCCTTTCACTACTCTTGCTCCTGCCACCTCTTCTTTGTCGAGAAAAAAAAAACAGCGAAAGGGTGAGCCCCTCGGTTTGCCTTAGTCGTATCGTTTAAACGACGATCGATAGATGAATTTTAGTAAACTGAACGAAAAGGAACTATGCAAGCAAATAAGCTTTCTTGACATAAAGAAGGAATACCTTGCGTTGAATGTAGAAAATGCAATAATAACTGGGCGAAGGTGATTTTAAGAATCATATGGAAGAGAAAGCAGAGAAATTTATCAACGCGTTACTGATCGCGATGGTGTTACTCGAGTGATCCGAGTATCGATGGAACCGATGGAAACGATGGAAACGATGGAAACGATGGAAACGATGGAAACGATGTCAGATTTTTTCCTGTTTTTCCTCTCAACTTTTGATGACTGGTTTCAGAGGAAACGTGTTTTCCTTGCTAACTTGCTACCGGTTGTACGTAATCCTGTTAGACTAGAGCAATGCGTCACTACAGACGCGCGGTTGACTCAGAGTCGATAGACACGCGGAATTAACCCTGAATTCCGGGGTTCGGTTCCGTTCCGTTTCTAATAAGAACGACCGGAGATTAACTGTGGATTCGTTGGAAACGTCGAAATGTCGTAACGACGGTCGATTCGTTAATTGGCCGATCTTTCATGGGGCTTCGGGCCCGTTGCCGCTTCCTGATTTTATTCCCTCCCGCTCCCTTTATCGGAATGTCGTTAAAGCAAGCGTTACGCGAGTATCTTATCGATCGGCAAACATTCTTTCTCATTGCATAAACGATTTGCACGGCATTTCCTTAGTTTTACGCAATGTTTCCCAGTGGAAAATCATCCTCCGTCGCGAGTGTGCCCGAACGAAGAGGAAGGCATTGAAATTGCTGGTAAAAGCGGGGCGCAACCCAGAGAGAGAGAGAGAGTCATCGACTCGGGACGAAAACGAAACGAGTATACGTTCGCGAATGGAACGATAGTAGAAGATCCACCGAAGATCCACCGAAGATCCACCGAAGATCCACCGAAGATCCACCGAAGATCCACCGAAGATCCACGAAGTCGATGACGTCAGAGGCTTGACGGGATCAATCGGAGAGTCAAGTCGCGATAATTGCGAGAATCGTCGGGATGCTCCCCAACGAGACGCTTAATTCCGCTCCCTCGTTCGTCGCAACTCTCTTTCTCCGCGTGACTCTTTCGCCGTTCAATTTACGGCCCCTCGCGCTATTTACTTAGCCTCGAAGATTACCGATCGTTAATTGTGCCTTCGAACCTGCGTCACTTACGCTTTCTCTCTATCATCTATATTCCACGATCCGTAACACCACCGGCGATATAGAAAGAAAAATAAAAAGGAATATATGAATCGTTATGTTGGAGCATTTTTCTGAAAACGGTCATAAAGAAGTTCGGATCGATTATCGTGGGAATGTTGGGCTTTTCGTCTACCCACATTCGACGAGCGAATCATTGTCGATGATTGGTTTCCACGGGCAAACCACGTGGAGGAAAAGACCGGGATCGACTAGATGTACGAGGACACGATAATTGATCACGATCATGGGGCCAACGCGATCCACGAAACGTTTAATTACCTCCGACTCCGACGACGTCTCTTTCATTAAATGCGCGAGTTGTCACGAATCGATCAGACTATAACCCGTTCGTTGAAGTGCAACGAGCGAATTAACGTCGAATTAACATGGCAGAGATTCAGATCCGTAAAACGATCCGTACCACTCGGATTGGCCGGTGTAGTCTAACAGTGTTCTACTCTTTTGCCGAATGTAGATGGAGAATCAAGGTTTCGAGGCGGAACACCCATCGCGAAGCGAAGGATCGACGACGATGCGAGAGCCTTGCCACGACTCGCAAGCATTTCCTTTCGAGCTCATCTCCAATGGTTCCAGCTCGAACGTGGATGGCCACGTGTACGAGGTGATCTTGCCCAGCGTAGAAAACACCTCGAAGCATTCCGGAGTGTCGTCGATCCGTCAAAACCCCGAGACACCGAACACGAATCGTCTACGTCTGCCGTTGAACGTAGCCGACTACATCTCGAAAGAAGCAACGACGAGATCCTTGGACAGGGATGAGATCGCTGGTGCTTTTCGTCGCAACCTGACCTTACCCTTTCGACGAGCCACCGGCCTCGATCCCTCTGCTACCAGCTCCTCCGTTCGTGTGAACCGGAAGACAAGCGACGATCGTGAAGAGGATACGGAAGTCGCTACGTGGAATGCCGGTCTCGTCGTCTTCTCGGACGATGCCTTCTCGTTTCGAGAGATCTCGGCTGTAACGCCGTCGACCGCGCTGCAACCCGAATGCAGGCCGAACAGAAAACGCAGAAAGAAGGACTGCAAGCACTGTAGGAGCAAAGCAGCCGCGTTCGCTAATGCCAGAGAGCTGGAAGCTGACGACAGAGAGAACGAAACGGTTCTGAGAAAGAACAGGGACAACGAGCAACGTTTGCAAGTGTTGGACTCAAGCGAGCCGCAAACCATCCTCGATACGCGTAATTTCACCACGCTGGCTGCCTGTTCAGCGAACAGGAAGGTAGACGAGCTGGCGATAACGGGCAGCAATACAACCTCGGTGTTCACGATTTCCGAGAAAGTAGAAGGATCCCCAGCCAGCACGATGAAGTTCATCGAAAGAGAACGGAGCGGTTCCGCGGAGACAAAGGAGGATAACACGTTGATCAGGTCGGAAAGAAGCCGGCCCAGCATGAGGGTAAATTCTATATACTCGCAGGATCGTTGGTACGCCAAAGGGGCGCCGATATTTTTCACCGACGTCAAAGAACACGGTACCTTTCAGGTGAGTACACACTTCCTTGAAGTTTCTTGGCAGTTAGTTAACTTGGCAGATCTGTATGTCTCGGAAAAGACGCGAGGTGGCGCGACGAGTGTCTTCGAGTCCGATTTTAAGCGTATTTCAGCGTGAGATGTCGAATTCGTCTATAGGGGTAGATCGTAGGTTGACAACCACTGCGAGGAAACGTAGAGCGCGTTGAGAACCGTCGCCTCGGTGGAGACGTGAAATTTGATTCGTCGCTAGATGGCGTCGGGATGAACAAGTTTCTCGCTGGTGGTTTTGTTTGACGGTTAGCATAAGTTGAAGCTCGTAACGACGGAAAGCATACTTACCTGGCGCAGAGGTTACCGTGATCATGAAGGCGGTTCCTCCAGGGCGAGGCTTTTCCATTGCACTAAGGTTAGGCTGACCCTTGCGAATATCCCTAATGTGGATATCTCGGGCGTATAATTTTTGATAGTCGGGACTGCGTTCGCGCTGTCCCGGACATTAATCCATTTTAAAAATGAATGTTTTTCTTTACTTTGAATTATTATAACGCAATCGGAAAAATGATTATTTTTAATTTATTCGTCTTTTCGTTGCGTAACGTTTTAGTATCGAATTTGTTCGTGTCACATCCGTGTTTCTCTATCGTTTGTGTTATTTGTATAAATATTTTTTATTCACTGCGGAGAAAAATCGAGGGAAAAATTTGAATACTACTCGTCGCAAACCGCGCTAGCTTATTTAGCCACTGATATTCTGAAAAATTTCGCGCAATCACGATTCGCGGTTGGTGTCCACTGGAAATAAAACGAGGAAGGATTCCCTCGCAAAAACCTTTCCAGAAGAAACCTCCGCGCGAATGATAATTATTCGAACGGCCATAAAAATACAGGGATCATTCTTATTTAATTATCATTCTCCTCGCATCGTATCGAAGTCGTGAGTCACGAAAGTGAGTAACTCGAGCTCGAAGGAGCATTAAAAACCGCTACGATCCACCGAATGAGCTTTGGCTTTGATCGCGTGATGCGGATGAAATCTTTTTTCCATTCCATTTGTATTCTAAACAGGAAAGGCTTGTCACTCGTGGCGAATATTCATCATCGTCCTGGCCTGCGATCTCGCTACTCGTGTCCCGTCGTAATCTTTGCTTTCACTCGAATTTTAGAATTAGAACGACGCACGCGCGTCTGTCGTTATAGCGATAAAGATAAAAAAGAAAGAAAAACATGGAAACGATCAAGCGACTGCTTCGTATAAATAACCGGGAAATTTGACCTGTCGATGATCGCCTGCACGGCGCGACGCGACGCGACGCGAGTTCGTTTTGCTTCGCGAGTGCACTTGCCGCGTCTGGCGTTTATCCGCCCTAAAGGAACAAAACGGAACGGAAGTGGAAAACGTCTATCTATAGCCAGACGCGCGATCATCGTTGGACGACAGCGCGCGCGCCGTTGCGATGCACGCGAGTCTTCTCCAACGAGTGAACATGCACGAGTTCTGACGGAAAAAATCCTCGTGATGCAACTTTGTCCCGATGAATCCGTGTCGCGAGTCGGATCGATCGACGGATCGAACATCGTCCACCGGAGATATTTCGCCGGTGGTTCGAAGGAAAGGTGAATAAGGGTCGCGTTTAACGTAGACTGGCGAAGCGCTACCGAGGTCGGTAGTCAGTTGGACTGGGACCATTGCCTCGGTAGGAACTTCGCCTAACGCTTCTTGCGTTTCTTAAGCGGTCGAACCCGGTCACACCTCCGCGATTTTTCCGTCTTGCTCGTATAAAAAGGCGAGAAAAAGAAAGAAAGAAAGAAAGAAAGAAAGAAAGAAAGAAAGAAAGAAAGAAAGAAAGAAAAAAAGAAAGAAAGAAAAAAAGAAAAAAGGAAAAAAGAAAAAAAAGAAGGCAAACAGGGTATTTTCGTCGTAATTTTTTTCTTTTCGCGTCACGGCTATATTTAATACGTCGAAGGTCACGGGTCAGAAGACGGTATCTGTAAAAGTCGAGCGAAATTGAGATCGACAATGCTTGACGCGCGCGAGTGACTACACTTTGTCCATTTTGCAAGAAAAATCGCCGTTTGATATCTTGCTTTTTCGCTGCGCCTTTGTTTACTTTCGGAAAGAGCTAGGCTTCTAATGCTATCGGGAAATAGATAAGCAATTATCAAAGGTCTAGTGTCGATTGGAGGAGAATGCGGCACCGATGGCTGACTTCCAGGTAATTCGCGGAGCTTTCGGTGCTTTCGGTGCTTTCGACGAGGCACAATCGCCAACTCTGGCAACCACCTTGTGATTCTACCTTGCTACTTTTCAGAGGGCCTACTCCCTCCCGATGCGAACGCAAACTCCGTCCTCCCAAAATCGTATCAACCTGCGGCGAAGCGTCAGAGGAGAACCACCCCCGCATCCGGCCAGACTTCGAAAGCACAGGCATGGCTGGACACTGCATCTGGCGCATCCTCTCGAGGCTTCCGGGTGTACCAGATCTTTGATCCTTCTGTTGATCGCGTTGCTGGTACTCGTGGTTATCGGTGCCGTCGCCCTGTACATCGCCTTTGGTAAGTTCTGCTTATACGCGTGTGTGCACATTCGACTTACGAATACCGCGAATTCGATAGAATTAACGTCCATTTGATGGTAACGATCAACGAGTTTTACGTATCGTCGATACTACTCGATTACTCGTTGGATCACAACGAATAAGGTTCTCGTGGAGCGATACAAGCCTCCACTGCACGTCTTTCACACAGCGAAATACGTAATCGTAAGCGAGCAGATGAAATTAACCACTGGGTCAATTGCACGCGGTCCGTTCAATGAGCTCGGCTGCTGTCCTGCTACTCGATAAATCGGTGATCGAGTGGAGACATGGTGAAGCAGTCGGAACAAGGCCTAATCCGCGTGTGACGCACGAGAAACGGCAAGTGCCGTTGACCGCTTATTTCTCGAGCAAAGGGATATTTCTAGCCGACATGCGAGACGTCCATCGCTCGTCTTTCCCTCTTCCCTTGTCCTAATCGCACTATTGTCCGCAGAACCCGAGAAACTGGAGATGATTCGACAGTACCTGAAATCGCCGACGAACCACTCGTTATCAAACGACCAAGTACTGGCCGTTGGAACGTTTCGGAATCGGTCGAACGGCGAGGAATGGAACGATACGTCGACCATGTCAGCGACGACACCGCAGAAGCCATCGGCCATCGGCACCCTCGCTGTGAGTAGTATCCTTTTAAACGGCGACTCGTCATTTCCGGAGAGCGGCACTCCGCCAGTGTCGGAAGCGGAAACGGAAGCTACGAGCCCGTACAGCCTCAACTCCACCAGATACTGCGACGATTGCCTCCAAGAGGAGGTCTGCGTTGCTCTCGTGGACGAGGAAGTGCCGACTTGCAGGACTGCTCGCGATCCCGAGGATCCCACCGGATGTGCGGGCTTTTGTCTCATCAACAAACAAAAGTGTCATCGTCTCGACGTCGACGCCTTTAGGTCTGTGCCACGTGCGTGTGATCGCTCGTTGAATTCTTCTTTCCCCTACTCGTAGCCGACCTTTCGTTCTTGGTCTCTCCACACAGGTGCGTCGAGATGGAGCATTACTGCTTGGACGACGAGTGGACCTGCCTAAACACCCTGTGCATCCCTCTGAAGAAACACTGCGATGGGCATATGAATTGTTACGACCATTCGGACGAGCAGAATTGCGGTGCGTACGCGTATATAGCATTAGCCCAGTTTTCCCGCCATTCGCGTCTTCCTTCTCGTGATCGGCTTTAGCGCTGCTTCGTCACAGTTTGCGAGGCTTCGGTTTACCCGTTTGCCCCTAACATAATCCGACGGTGGTAAGAGACAGACGCGTCTTAGGTTTTTGTATGATTTAGAAGGAACTGGCCGACACGAGGGTGTCGTATATCGAGACCTCGCGAGACCGTGAGTTAGGCGAACGGCACATATGAGAAGATCAGGGATGATAACTCGATTGCTACGTTTCTTGTTACAGTCTGCGATCTGGAGACGCATTTTCAGTGCGGTAACGAGACTTCCTGCCTTCCACTGGAGAAGAGATGCGACGGCAAGATAGATTGCTGGGACGCGACCGACGAGATTAATTGCACCTTAGGTAAGATACGCGCAACTATTCGTTGCGGTCACGAGAAGCGTATAAGCCTTTGGTTCGCGAATTATCGACTCGTCAAAATAATTACCAAAATATATATATATATATATATATATATATATATATATATATATATATTCTTTCCCACGTGAATCGCCATGGATAATCGTAGGATGGCTTTTCCCGAGATTATCCTAACGATCAGGTTCATCGACCGTTAAGTTATTCGCATACCTTTGGCTAGCACGATTTCTCTCTCTTTTGCTCTCTGTATGTAAATATGTACAAGTATATAATGTATCCTTTCATTTTCTCTCTCTTGTTGGGTTAAGGTCTTTCTCAACTTTCTTTTTATTTTCTGTTCTTCTTCGTAGGTCGTAATCTTGGTGGGTGTGAGTACATATACTCGTTCATTTGATACGTATTCGATTTTCGCATGCGATGCACGCACGTCGCTAATTGCCGTTAAACGCACTGCACGCTTTATACGCCGAACGAATTCCTAGCACTTTTGCTCTGTCGAAGCTGCTGCTGTTTCCTTTGCTCGGCAGCTTTCGTACGATATCGAAAAGTCATCGAGTTTGATCGGTGTAGCTTGATGCGCTTCTAAAAGAATGCAAAAACCGCACGCGATGCTTGTTTAGTTGACAACACACGGTCGCGTAAAACGTTCGCAACGTTTATTTTGATACCAGCGTGTCCCGCGGAAAACGAGTTTACGTGCAGCAACGGGCAATGCATATTGAAAGCTCGCTTCTGCGACAACCTGCCAGATTGCCTCGATGGATCCGACGAACCTCACGGCTGCCAAGGACGGTGTAATAAGCACGAATTCACGTGCCAGTAAGTTGACGATAATCCCTATATCGCTCTATGTCCCCGATGCTTTACGCAAGGAATTACGCAGGAAATCAAATTTATTTTTTTCATGCAGAAACAGTAGGTGCATTACGAAGGGAATGAAGTGCAACGGAGTGGACGATTGCGGTGACGGAACCGACGAGAGGCATTGTAAAGACCGATTCCCTTAACTTTACGTTTACATCCTCCGACAATCCTTTCATAGCGTTACGCCGCGTTACAGTATTTTTATTACGGATTAATGTAATTGTACATTACTTTGTACATAACTGTGCTGTATAGACATGCAGTAGTACGTAATAAACGATTTACAAATGGAATACTTAATATCAGGGTGTAATTAGGAAACGATATATTTTATTATTGTATCATACGGCAGATTACAAATATCTGTTATTCCGATGAGACATTGTTTTCAAGTATTACGAATAAGATATAATATTCGTTTACGTACGATACACTATTAAATAGGAGATCTTTCGTTTTTAATGTGCATTTTTCCTCTACTCGTGCGTCGTGTTTTTACACGTATTAAAATCGTATATACGTAGCTATATTTTTGTATACAAATAACTGTCAACATTTCTATAAAGTTTTATATATATGACCCTACGATTTGTTATATATATATATATATATATATATATATATATATATATATATATGTGTATATATATATATATATATATATATATATATATATACACATATACACACACACATATATATATACACATATAATACGCACAACTCGATATTGCTTACGCCAAACTACCAAAAGTAGTTCCGACTACTGTTACCAACACACGTTTTCCTTCGCTCCTTGAATCTTTTGTATATCGACGTAATTTACAAGAATTCGTCCGGTTCTCTCGGTGCATCGAGATCGCGGTAGTGAATGACTGGTCGGAAGTCTCCTCCACCGCCGCTGCAACGTTGAACAAAAATTAATAGGTTTCGCTCTCAGCGAAACATACATTGCATACAAAGCACTAATAAACCACGTACACGTGTCAATCCTACAACGATTAATGACATCCTGCCAAGTTTGACCAACTGGACATAGGATTTGAACGGAAATATGGGATATAGAAAAAAGCACATGTAAATAGTAACAAATAATTTTATTTACTATTTCTCGGCATATAAGGTTACAGCTCCTGCCGATATTGTTTCTCTTTTTACTTAGGGAACACGATAGAAGATTTTTTTTCTTTACTAAAATATAAAATATGAAATATAAATATACGTATTCTTTCTCCCCTATGTACACGAATCGTCAAGATTATCCCGTATTGGAAAAAAGAAAAGTATTCTGGTTTAATAACATATCGTGTTACTCGAACATTTCGCAATTCATTTTCGCTCTAAAGTGATTACTTTTAATTACATAATTAAGGCATAGACCTTTTACCGCGATCGTTCGATACAGCTCTGAATTTGACTCATTACTTCTATTTCCGTATAAAGGATTCGAATAATACTTGACAAAACTTAGAACATATCCATGTCTAGCTGGTCCAAATCATTATAACTAACAATAGGCCTCGAAGTTGAGTCCGGTGCAGCCCTGTAAAACAGCGTATCACCATGTTCAGTAAATCGAACAAGAATTTAGGGAAATCAAAACTCTGGTCGATTTTTCAAGTTGACCATTTACTCGACAGATCAAAGATTTTATTGTGTTTACGTCGTGTTATAGGCTGACCTAACAAAGATCGGAGGATCATGCGAAATAAAAACAGAAAATATCTTACCGTCCTCTGTTGAAACCACCACGATTGGAACGTGGCATACCGAATCCTCCACCGAACCCTGTCCCGTAATTCGATCCATATCCTCCTCTGCTACCACCGTAACCACCTCCGTAACTTCCGAATCTTTACAATTAAATTACATTCTTTCATTTACTGCAATCTTTTATGGTAAATATGATAAAATGTACTATGACAAAATTTGCCTTTTAAAGTAAACGCATCTACAGTTCTAACGAAACGACAATCGAAAAATATGGTACTACTGGAACTTATGCGCAATATGTACATGTTTTACACTCACGTATTACATCCGTATGGGGTAAATCCTTCGCGTAATGTCTCTCTCGGTGGTGCTTTATTTCCCGGATGTTCGGGAAGCTGTGGCCTTTTTGGATCTCTTAAGTAGTTGTTGAAATATTCCGCTTCCGCTTTTACCTCTGCTACCTTTTCTGCGTGTTTATTGAAAATATGTTTTCGGATAAAATCTGGCCCTTTAAATTTTTTTCCACTAAGCGGACATAACCATTTATCTTTTGATAGCTCTTGAGTATTGGCTTGAACGAATTTTTCAACTTCACTAATGTCCATGATTAAGGAAATAATAAATGGGAAAGTGTTACTTAAAGACCTTGCAAGGATGTAATTGCAAACAAATAAAAAGGATACGCTTCAGCATTCTTAGCACCTAGCTTATCAAATTCTTCTTGGGACAAAGTTGCAACTGGTTGTAGGAATGCTACCATTTTACTTTCAAAATTCCGACAGTACTCTGACAATTCAGTACTGGAAACTTTAGCAGTAGGAGGAGATCCCCTAACGTGCATTATTCCGCATCTATTTGGCATTTCGTCTTCGTTTGGATATTCGCAATGATTGTAATAATCAACCGAATGAACTATTCGCAAATAAAGAATCAATCTGTCTAAAACCTAAAAACAAATAACGTTTAGAAAAATAAACAAAGTTTTATGTATGACTGTCACACGTTTAATACCTTGATAAGTGTTGGATCTCTTTCAATCGGTCCGTCTCCATCACCTCCTAATTGACCCTCTTCTTGATCACCAGACATTCCTAATAATTCTTCTTCTTCGGCCGATGCTTCTTCTATCAGATAGTCGGTTATATTCTTCAATACTGGATTTTTAGATGACAATCCAAATGCCTGTGAAAATATACGTCATGATGTTTCAACGACGCCATTATAGTTGTTAACTCAACGTGTAAATTAGTCGCTGTCTTACAGCTTGCTCAATATCATGTACATTTTGAATGCTCTTATTTTCTTTGTTGTCGTCATCCTGTTTATGTGTATTATCATCTCTTTTATCTTCGTTCCATAAACCAACCCTGTTGTCCAAGTTATGCACGATTTTAGCACTCAATTTGATATCATGCCTGACTATTTGCTTATGAGACGTCAAACCATTCACTGTGCGAATGCGACGCGAGAGGTCCCGGTTTACTATAGCACCAAGTTCGCAATCCCGTAACTGTAGAAATTATTATACTATTATAATTTCTTCTTTTATTCGTATACATTTTATTTGTTTATTAACATACCCGAATATTGTTCAAGCTCCAGCATATCTCCTTGATATTTACTTGTCTTTCGAAAGACACCCATCCTCTTCTAAACCATCGTCTTTCTGGTTGAGGATCTGCTATGGCAACTCGTAAAAATCCAGGGAACCGTTTACACATCTGTTTACACAAATTATTCATATGCCTAATTAAAAGAATGTAACCAACGAAATACGTATACATATATATTTATAATAACTAACCGCTTCAACTTCTGCTTTTGTTATCGTGGGTGCTAAATTACGGAGGAAAATACTGCTAGTCTTGTGCAAGGCTCTAGGTTCTTTTTCCTTATCTTCGCTAGCTAGATCGATTACTGCTTCTGGTTCCATAGCAGATTTCTTAGCTTCTGGCAACGGATCACTATCTGCTTTAGCCTCTCGGTCATCTTCTTTACCATCTTGTGCGTCTACATTTTCATTATTAACATCCATTTTTTCAGTCACATCTAAAAACAAATAAGTTAAAGTAATTCACAATTCTTAAATAATTATAATATCGAAACTCACGGGCGTCTGTTTTCGGTGTATCGGGTTTATTGCTATCACTACCGGAGGAAGTACTACTGCTACTACTGCTGCTGCTACTGCTGTTACTGTCAGTTCGTTTTCTCTTTTTAGAGCTAATTTCCTCCGGTTTTCCTGGTTTTATTAACAGAAAAATCGAAAATAGTAAATAGAACAAATCATTATTGCTTATAAAATTTATAAAATTATTGCGAAATAAAATACCTGTTGTGCCTTCTATATCATCCTTTTTTGTTTCCTCTGTAGTTTCTTCTAATTTCTCGACCTCTTCTATCGAGGTTTCATCCTTTTCTACGCTTTTAACTTCAGCGTCTGAACTCTGTCCATTTTTAAAACTTTTTTCCGTTCGCGAAGCGTCTTCTATTTTACTCCCATCGCTGTAAAATTTTTATAATAACGACAGACGTTTTGTACTATTTACTTTCTAATAAATATTAATCCATACCTGTTATCGACCTTTTTCTCGGACCCAATTCGGCTCTTTATATCCTCCTTGTCCTTAACGGTATCTTTAGTTATAACCGTATTTGTTGGCTTCATGTCTAAAACTTGTAAATCTTCCTCCGTACCACCTTCCAATTTAATAACCACCGCATCTAGCAGGTGCAGCAAAGCATCAGCTTGATCTGCATCTACAGACACTTTATCTATTTCTTCAACTTCAAGCATTTCCAAAAAGACTTCGACACGTTTCTGTCAAAGGGAACAATAAATTAACAAAATAGATCGATAGTTTCGAAAAAATGTTCGGAAAACGATAATTTATACCTTAAGAGCTGCTACCTGTTCCTCCTTTCTCTTCACTGACTCCTCTGGGTGGTATTTTATTTTGAACCTGATAATCGATAAAGAATGCAGTATTTGAATCGATTTTGAAGTAAATTTTTGATCAGTTAAAGCAAACAGACGTACAATTTGTGGATTTATCATTGATACATATTTGAAAAAAAGTGCGTCAAGATTAAGATAGTAGTTAGTTCTACTAATCTCTCAATATAATTTTATACTGAGCATATATGCATGTATATATAAGCACGAGCGTGCTTTTAATCGATCATAAACATATTTACGTAATCGGGATAAATTTGTCGCGATAGGTGTTGAACAAGATATAGCAGTAATTGTTACGTTTCCCATCCGAATCTAGAGTGAATCATTCCTCGTGACTAAGTATTATTGTATCCTTTTCCTCGAGATGATTATTTATAAATTATCAGTTTTACTGTCAACATTGTCAGTTACAGAATGAAGCCTCACCTGTAGAGTCTGATATTTTTACTCGCATTCAGTTTTCTCGTCGACTCAGAGGTCTATTGTAATGATAGCATATCTTTGGAATGTCAGAAATAATTAAACGGGTTTAGAACGCGGCCTATCGCGAGCATATTTGGGCTTTGCGCGCCCAGCTCGCATCTTTGTTTAACTACCTAATAGACACCTCGATTCTTCTGCGATGCGCGAAACGCGAAATACATAAAATATCGTACGTAAAAATAAACGAGCGAGGTGACCTGTGCCCAAGACATAAGGCGTTGCTGGCTGTACGCTGTAGGGATAGACAGAGCTGGTCATATTGCTTGCATTTACGGATAAAATTGTGTCTGCAATTTAGCAAAAATTATAAAGCTACTACACCCTCACGTTCTTCTGTTCAGTGTAGGTATGCATTTTTAGCATACATACCTGAACAGATAATTTTATGACTTTGTTAGGATTAAAAGATTACTTTCTACAGTGGATAAAGCTTTCATGTAAAAAAATGCAAGTCACAAACGTCTTAGAAAAATATCAGTTACAAGATTAATATTTCAACAATAGTAACAGTTGAGCCACTGTAAAAATTAATTATTTTTATATCCACATTTAAGTACGACTGAGCTTCACAACATATAAGGAGCAACTTTGAAAATCTTATCAGTGAATTAAGAAATGAATTATACCATTCTTCGTCCTTGTGTGCAACGAAGAATTCGTTCAACTGTTGCCTTCTGAATTCCAGTTTATATTCATTATAACGCTTAATAGCTTCTTCATCTGTAATCGAGTCTTCTTGTGTTCCGAGAAATGCTTTGAAAGACATCATTGGTGGCTGAGTTTCAACATTGGAATTGCTGAAGTTTCCAGCTACCTCTCGGCTGCACAAAACATAAATCAGTGTACAATTTGCCGAAGAATACAAAACATTTATATGCTACCTTAATCGGGCCAACAATCTTGGAGTGAATCGACTCCTCTTTTGCATACTTATGATACAACCTCTCTTTTTCATCACAATGTGTTCATAAATCAAAGACACATACACATACACAAAAAGAAAAGAGTAAATGTAAAAATAACATACGAAACACAAACCTGTTACTGTTACCATGGTTTCCATAGTGATGATTACCATGGTGAGGTGGTGGATAATGGTCTGGACCCCAGGAAGTTGCACCACCTCCTCCACCACCACCATAATAATCATGACCGTATCTTGGTCGATCATCCCAATCTGCTCTCATCCTTTTCATAGGAGGTGCCATCTCCTGTGACCTACCGGGGCTATATCTATCACGTCCTCCACCACCACCTCCACGATACTCTCTGTAGTCTGGTCGTTGTCTAGGCCGACTAGACCATTCTCTAAAATAATCAATGTCATTAAAGCTACAAGAGAATGTTTACTCAGGATATGAACAACTGCTTTTTTCATTATATGTCAACAGTTATTTCGTATAATTAATCAGTTACCTATCCACCCAATCGTCTCTTCTTCTATCATCTCGGCGACCTTCCCTCGAATAAGATTCCGTTCTTTCACCTCTAAATTTGTCTCTTCTCTTCCTATCATACTCGTCGTCGGAGTCACCCATAATGAGAGAATTTAGTGCTAAAGGAATACAAAATACAGGTAATATTTATAGAAATTCAATCACAAAGAAATTAATATTACCAGTATTTTCTGGAATCATTCTACATCGAGAAGGGGTTAAGTAGGCAGTTAGACATACATATTTTTCGACACGTGACCCGCAAGCATTTTCAACCATCGTTTTCTATTTACGCTACACCAGGGAGGTATATAAACGTTTAGGTAAACGCGTTTGCTACAGGGTTATGGACTATCCACAATTTTTCGAACAAAATATTCGAATAACGCGGGAGTATTGCTTTTAGAATATTCAAGTTATTGGCACTTTATTTATTTAACAAGACATAAGAAAATTAGAGAAAGGATGTGCGTACAATGTATTTGCATAAAACGAATTGAAAAAGAATTGAAAAAAACTCACCTACTCAAAGTACACTGTTCAATAAAATTAAAACTCCACCATAGAGGATTTTTGCCACCCGTTACCGTGCGTCACCAAAGTACCATTCTCTGCGAGGTGCGGCGTCAGATCGTTGGAATCGATACTACACTCGCATATCGATTCTCTTTTTGTTCGACAACCGCGAAATTTAAATAAGCTTTAGCGCTAATTATATAGAAACTGGTTTTCGGTATTACATATAAATCGGATAAGAAATATTTGATACGTTATACAGCTTGTTGAACATTACCTTTGTTACTGTTTAGAGGTTTCATAAACGATCGATCCAACAGAATTAATATTAAATAGAATTGATATATAATTTCTACTGTTAATGAATTTCAAATAAATAACATAGTCATCAGGATTAAAAAGAGATAAAGAACTGAAAGCTTGTAACTTTTTAAAATTCCGATACGATCTATCCAGGATAGCGACATTTGAAGAAATAGCATTAACAAAGCACAAGTTCTATAAATAATTCTGCAATCATGCGGTAACAATTACACAATGATCATCGATTTTCTTCTTCAAGATTCGCAGAAGACGCATAGAATCATATGTATTATCGTCTCACATACAAGAATAGATTGTAAATGTTTGACAATATAAAAAATTTAGTGGATATATGAATCGAAGCATTTGAAAACCTCGCTAAAGAAGTTTGCTTCCTAACCGAGCGTCAAAGTCACCGTTAATGCTATCCATGTGCCACGACGAATAACCGAAGAAAGTCGATAAAAGCCGAAATGTAATGCACAAGGTGACAAAAAAACCGTTGGAAAGGAATTTCAAGTATCGCAGCAAATAATGCTGAACAGCGTCATAAATTTGAAAGAACTGTGGCTGGATGGTTCTAATTTGCATGATGCACCTTCGTCTTCGAAAGGAACGTGAGGGGAATGGTATATCTCGTGGAAACTCCTAAAGTCGGATGACGTATTACGACAAAGCCGGCCAGCTGAAACCAGTCGTTCGGTATACTTAGTGCCGTGCGTATGCCGTCCAGTAGAAAGAGTTGAACAATTATTACTCATTGCCACCCACATTCGAACGTGTATCTTCGTGATCGGGGATGATGCTTGGGCGCAATACATCCTTTCACTGCCGGGGGTATCCTTATATATAGAAGTATTCGATCAAGACTCGCATCGCAATGACTCGAGACTCGTGTCGAGCACCCAAGGACTCGACCGTATCAAGTAATCACAGGATGATCGGGATAATTCAAACAATCCGGTTCTCCGTGTTCGTCCTTCTAATCGTCACGGTCGTTGTTGGTTCAGGTAATCGACATTCTTCATTTTTTTCCTCTCGTTTCCGCGTTGTCTTTTTTTTCTTTAATATTGATTCATCACTACCGCATCCTTTTTCTGCCAAATAAAGGAAAAGATAAAATGTATATTATATATATATATATATAGGTAGCCGAA